GTATTAAATTAAATAGTTTATAGTTTATAATAACTTTAACCTTTAATAAGTTAATAGTACTAATTTAAACTAATTAAGTATAGTCTAATATATTAATATAAGAAGGTATTTTTAATAATAAATAGTATTATAGATATAAATTATAAAGTTATTATAAAAGTTTTATATAATAAACTTAATTAAATTAATCTTTAAAAGATATATTATATTTTATTTCTTTAAAATCTTAACTATTTATTTTTAATTTAATAATAGAATTAAAAATATAAATAATTTATATAAATTATTTATATTTTTATTTTATTATTAAATTTAAAATAAATAATTAAGACTTTAAAAATAAAATAAAATAAAATATATTTTTAAAATTTATTTTAATTAAATTTATTATATAAAACTTATAATAATATAGACTTATAGACTATTAAAGTAATTAATTAAGTAAATTAATTATAATAATCTTTTAACTAAGCGGTTTATTACACTAATAGTTAATAAAATTTCTATAAATTTATCTTAATAACTAATTTTAAAGTTATAAGTTTAAGCCTCTATAATTTAAAAATCTTAAACTAGATAGGGGGACTAATTTAAAGAGTACTTTATAAAAAAGGGTAACTTAGGGTAAGTTATATATTATTCTATAAAGAATTAATTAGTTGTAATACTATAAAGATCTATTTAAAAAACTTAATTAAACTAATAAAAATTAAACTATTTATACTAAACTTTTATTTTATTTAAGATTTTTAAACCTTTTATTTACTATATATTAATTTAATAATAAGTAATTAAACTACTTTTAATTAATTATAACTTAATATTTTATTATTTTAAAATTACTTCCTTATTTAAGTAGTTTTAATAGGCTCTAATAGGCCTCGAATAGAGAATATAATAATATAAACTTATAAACTATTAAAATAATTAATTAAATAAATTAGTTATTATAGTTTTTAATTAAGTAATCTATTATATTAATAGTTAATAGAATTTCTATAAATCTATCTTAAAACTTTTATAATAATTTTATAATTATTTATAATATTATTTATTATTAAAAGATATTCTTTTATATTAATATATTAGATTATATTAATTTAAATTAATATTATTAATTTATTAAATATTATAAATTATTATAAATTATAAATTATTTAGTTTAATATTAATAAATATTATATATAAATTTTAATTTATTATATAAGTTAATTTATATATAAATATAAATTATTTAAAATAAATAAAAATAAAGTTATTATTTCTTTAATTAAAGTTTTAATTTTATTAAAATAAATATTTATTTATTAATTTTATTATATTAAAAATAAAATTATTTAAAAATAGTATAAATTATAAAATATTTAATTAATTAAATTAATAAATAAAATAAAACTTATATAATTAATTATATAATTTAATTTACTTTATATATAAAACTTTATAAATATATTTAAATTAGTTTTCTTTTAAATAATTAATTAATTTATTTAATATAACTATTTACTCCTTATTATTTATATTAAATAATAATTATTATTTAATATTTCTTAATTAAAATACCTTTATTATAAAAATTTTAATTATATTAATTTTAATAATAATTAATAAAATTTATTAATTTATAAATATTATAATTAATTAATATATTTATAATTATATTTATAATTAAATTAGTTTTTCTAATTATTTATTGAAATTATACCTTTATAATTATTAATTAAATTATAAAGAATACTTTAATAAATTTTATCTTTTTTATAATAATATTTAATTAAAAATAGTAATTAAAAGTAAATCTTATTATTATATTATATTAATTTAATATATAATAATCTATTAATTTATAGATTACTTTAATTAAAAACTTTTATTAATAGAAATAAATACTTTAATAATAAATTAATAGTTTTAAGTAATATAATTAAATTTTTAATAAAAGTAATTATAATACTTTTAAAAGTAAGTTAAAGAATATATTTTAATTAAAACTACTCTTTATATTACTTTTAATTCTTTATTAAATAACTTTTAAATTTATAAAAGATAGTAAGATTTATTTATTATAATCTACTTTATTTAATTATAAATATTTAAATATTTATAAGTATTATTAATTATTAACTTTTTATTATTCCTTTCTTTTTAATTTATTAAAGTTAAATTAATAAAATATCTCTTTTTCTATATACTTATTAATATTTAATTAAATCTATTAAATCTTTTAAACTTACTAATTAAATCTTTAAAATATACTATTTATATATTTAAAAGAAAATTATATAAAGTTAGAGTATATAAATAATTAAAGTAATAATAATAGTAGTAACTATTAAAATAATTACTAAATTAATAATTAATTAATCTATTAATTAGCTTATTAGTTAGTTTATTAAAGTAATTATTAAATTAACTTTTATTAAATTAACTATTAAAGTAATTATTAAACTTATTAATTAAATAAATAAAATAATAAATTTTATAACTTTAACTATTTAAAAGTAATAACTTATATATACTTATAAATAGTTAATAACTATTTATTAATTAATAAAAGTTATATAATAAGTAATTAATAAATTAAATTTAATTTTATTTATTAAAAGAATTAGAATTTAAATAATTTAAATAATTTATAAAATATTAACTTTAAGTATTTTTAAAGTATTTAAATTAATTAAATTATAATTATATATTTAATAATAATTTTAAATAAATTAATAATTTTAAATAAAAAAGTTTTATTAATAAATAAAACTCTTTAATTAATTAATACTAATAAAGATATTACTCTTTTTATATTTAATATATAATATAAATTATAAAAAGTTTAATTAGTTAAATTAATAGATAAAATAAGAGTTATATAATTAATTATATAATTTAATATACTTTATTTATAAAGATTTATAAGTATATTTTAACTAACTTTCTCTTTTAAATAATTAAGTAACCTATTTAATATAATTACTTACTCTTTACTACTTATATTAAAAGTAGTTACTTAACTTATTATATTATTAAACTAAAAATAATTAAATAAAATAACTATACTTTATTATTACTTTAAATTTATAATTTTAATAACTTTATAAAAGAAATAATTATTAATAATTAAATTTATAATTATATAAAGATAAAATATTAATATTTAAAATAATTAATATATTTTTAAAAAGTTAAAAGATTATAAATTTAACTTAAAGTATATTAAGATTTATAAGAATTTTAAAGTTAAGTTTAAAAGTTTTAATTAAAAATTTACTCTTTTAAAAGATTTAAATAAAGTTAAATTAAATTATAATATAAGAAAATAATTAAATAAAAATAATTAAAAATTATAATTATAAGTTTTTAACTTTATATTTAAAGAGGTAATTTTATTTATATATATTTATTATTTTATTATATTTTTATATTCTTTATATTATTATTAATTATTTTAATTAGAAAATAAAATATATTTTTAATAACTTAAATTAATTAGTTTTTATTTAAATTAAAATTTTAAAGTAATTATTATTTATTTATTTAATAATTAATTTAATTTAATAATTAATTTAATTTAATAATTAATTTAATTTAATAATTAATTTAATTTAATAATTAATTTAATTTAATAAATTAAACTATATTTTAAACTCTTTTAAGCTTTTTAAAGTTCTTCCTTTAACTTTTTACTAGTTAAACTTCCTAGAGTTTTAAAACTAGCTCTATAACTACGTTATAATAGACCCTTACTAGTAACTTCTCGCTTTAATACTAGACTGACTTCCCTCCGTGATCACACCCTTAGCCTCACAAGTTACCACACAGACAATGCTGGAAGGTATCGCTCCCGACGGCGCCGCTTACTAGAAAGGCGGCATAAGAGCCAACGTCCACTCACCCAGTAATTATATCCACTCACCTAATTCCCACCAACCACTCACCTAATACCAATTTTTCTAAGTAACTCCCTTACATTTATAAATACCTTCTAAATTAGTACTAAGAGACCCTATAGTACGATTTCCTTCTCTAATTTTTAATACTTTTAATATAAGCCCCTTCTACACCCCTTCTAACACCCCTTTTAATACCCCTTCTAGCACCCCTTCCAACACCCCTTCTAGCACCCCTTTTAAACCTTCTAACTTATATACATTTAAGTACTAACTAAATATTTAAATACTAACTAAATACTAAAAAGCTAAAAATTTAAAGTATTAAAGAGTTAAAAGGAGTATTAAAAGGTTAAAAAAAATATAATCTTTACTTTTACCTTTTTAACTTCTAACCTTCTAATATTTAATTAATATTTAAATACTTAATTAATACCTAAATATATATAATTTAAAAGGTTTAAAAAGTAAAGGTAAAGAGTTTTAAAAGGGGTATTAAAAGGAGCTTAAAAGGGGTTTATACTAAAAATATTAAAAATTTAAAGAATCCTAATTAAATATATAGTTTTATATAGGCCCTATATATAAATTCTTATATTAGGTAAGTAGTTAAAAAAAACTAAGTAAGTGGATATAATTACTAGGTGAGTAGACGTTAGCTTATAACAACACTACACACAAATACAATATAGTATATACACCTCCACAGGGGTAACAAACGTTATTTCTTCAAGTCGCGGCCCACATGCCCCACTGTAAATGGCAAGTCACCATTCTAGTATTTTCTATGACTGAGGAACCTGAGCAGGTCGGTTGACTTTTTGGGAATAGCTTCTGCTACCTTGGCCTCCAGTATGTTTTCCTAATTAAGTTAAGTACCCAGCTTATATGGGTACAAGTGGGTCAGGACTTGGGAAAATAACGTTTGTTACCCCTGTGGAGGTGTACAACACCCCAACTTGCGTACCTTAAACCGGGTAATAATATATCCGAAAGGTGGTGGTGCCTAGGAACCTGATGACGTATTCTACATACGCAGCAGGCTTGGCACCAAAGACACATTAAGAGACCGGAAATTCGCGAACCTAAAATCGGAAGCCGCGTACCCAACCGTGACGAAGCGTTCTCCACACATGTGCACGAATTTATTTTAACTAGGGCCACCATAGTAATTGGTATGGTCGTTTCACATAACTAGCATTTAGCAACATCATCAACCAACCAAAATCAGGCGGAATTTGCGCTCAACTACGTGCTTGCCTAGCCCACACCACGTACTTCGATTTCTGGTTGCGTGCCCGAAGAATTCATTCCAGGGCACGTTGTGGAGGATGCGAAAAAAAAAAAAAAATACACTGCTGGGGTGGTGTGACGAAGTGGAATAAAGTCCTCTGATTGGCTGGGTTAACGTTTAGTCACGGTTGGGTACGTGGCTTCCGACGGATTTGCGGTCTCTAGATTAAGGGGCTTATATCACACTGGCTTTTGTCGAGCATCTGGCCCATATATGTGCGGGATTTGATAAATAGAGCCGATGGCCAGACCAAAAGTTCAGATGTTTCGGGCTACTCCAACTCTTCGGACAATTACTTCTCATTCACCAGACCGATAACATCGCTTTGTCCGTCGTCAAAACACAAAGCCAAGCAACAATTTGGTATCTCGTTGGACGTATACGGAATAATAACGGAACCATTCAAGTAACGCCACATCAAACGTACTTAGACTTCTCCTCGCAATGCGTTTCGAAAACACACTGGCTCTTGCCGCGCTACCAGCCCTGGCATCGGCGACATACACCACGGAGTATCTCATCGGTAGTTCCAACAACACAATCCAGGTTCTCATTGAAGGAGAGGGTCCATCGCTTCTGGTCTGGCCATCGTTCGCCCGGGACAGTCTAGAGGACTTCCACGAGTTCTCCAGCGCCCTTGCCGAGGCCGGGTACAGGGTTCTCCGTCCCCAACCGCGCGGCACGGGCGAGTCGACTGGCCCGATTAACACGACCTGGGATGAGGTCGGCGCCGATGTTGCTTCGGTTATAGATACCTTTGGAAACGGCAAGGCGGTCATTCTCGGTCACGCCGGCGGCCAGGGCGTCACTAAGTACATGGCCGCGACCTACCCGGAAAAGGTGCCGTCGATCGTCTTGGCATGCATCACCACTGGCATCAACACCAACGCCACGATCGCCGCCACGTCAAGGATCGCAAGCAACTACAGCAACTCTGTTGAGGATAGACTTGCGGCACTGGAGCTTGGTTACTTTGCTCCCGGACACGATGCCTCAGTCTGGCTGACGGGCTGGTATCCCGAAACGAGGGACTCCGTGTCTGGTACTGCTGTGAACACTCTTGGAGGGAACCACACACAGATTTTGGATGTTATTGCGACCTTTGACCCGTGGAGAGCAAAGGACCAGTGGAACTATACCACTGATTTGGCTGGTAACCGTTCCACTGTTGTGTTTGTGGAGGATGCGTCCCATGCGTTGTTCCCCGAGAACCTACAGGGACTTCTTGATGTCCTGATGCCGTGGTTGAAGACCCAAACCTCAGGCTGGTTTTAGAACCGTGGAGCCTGAGTCAAGCTCATTGTTAGACAGACATTGCATTCATATTCTGTACCTTTGACTCAAATACCCATAGACACCTTTTCAAAGCTCATACTGAAGAGTTTGTGATTGCAAATGAATAGATTCTGGAATTTGAGTATTTTTCTGAACTCTACTTTTCTTCAAACTCTTCAGATTCTGCCCTTTGCCCACCTGACATCGTTGGGAGATGGTGTGATTCGCCGCCGACATTCATTGATCAGTGTTTGTTCATTTCCGGCATGGTCTCGAACTCCAAGTTATGTACTCCCAGCTCCACAGATTCCTAGTGAACTTCTCTTGCCCAAGTAGCAACTTCATAGTTTTGCGCTTCGGAGAACGGGCTTATTAGATGTCGGATGTATTGATCTACTTCGCAGAGTCGTCCGGGATGTCGGAGTCCTGCCTCTGTCGCCTCGTCTTCAGTGTTGATGTGGACAACACCGTTAAATGCTTGATCCTTGGGCAGGACATCGCCTAATTCTAATCGATTCGGAAATTCCCTCGTGGTGCGCTCCACTTTAAACTCATGCGTCACAAAGATGAAGTTGCTCCACGTCTTTGTGACGACAGGCCAGAACACCGGGATTGATGCCAAGGCCAGTGACAGTCGGTTCTCAGTTTCGCCTAAAAGTATGATTGCGGGGAAGGATCTTGTAGGGTCGGGCTCTTCATCTGATGTTGCTCGATTGGCGACGATACGCCCTGCAGCAATGACATTAATTCTAGACATTGAGTTAGTGCTTACTTCCCCTAAATCATTAAGCACGGATTTGGATATTTTTTTTGCCCCCACGGTCTTACATTGCCCCAATAATGAAGAGTCCCACGAGCCCCAGCCTCGTCTTTCGAACAGTATTGCTGCTAAACAGCAATGGGATAGGGAGGACCAGAATCAAAGAGTCCAAAGCCATGTTTGTGGCATTAGATGCCACGACGATGTTGTAAACATCCGTGGGTTTAGTAGACCCGTATCCATAGCAGTTCGACTCCGATCCTAGGCGGTAGAATTGATGTACAGGAAAGCAGGGGAACCAAGCCATGAACGAAAAGGCAAGGCCCCATATAGAGACGATGACAATCAACACCTTTGACGCGATTCTCAGGCGTCTCATACGGTCTTGGAATACTCGGACGTATTGTAAAAGGATGGAGAGTTTTACCAAGGCGTTTGAGGTAGAGAATGAAGCGTTCGACATGTAAAACAACTGATCTCACTGTCAGCTTGGGTCCATTTTCCAACCTTGGAAGGTTGGTGCATTAGCGAAACCATCGCGTAGAGCTTACGAGGAAGAACATTTCTCTATCGCTATCCGGAACCGTCTTGAAAGGGTGGCCCAAGCCGTAATCTGTGCCTGATATCTATTCAGTTCAACGTCGTTATACAGATCGCAAGAGTCGGGTGGGCTGGGATGTGGTTACTCATCGAAAGTCCTACCGCGCTTGTTGAACCGGCAAGCTTTGGAGTCAGCGCCCATCATGATGCCCTGTTGGAGTAGCAGTATTACCAATGCAAACAAGACTACAAGATCATCCCACCCAGGCGCTCGTACGATGCGCACCCGAACATATATCCTGAGGCCGACGCATAACCAAGCTACAACCTGTGATCATCAGCGAAAAGTTGTCATGCCCACTGGGAGCTCCAATATCTCGCACCAAACCAGATACAATCACAGGTATGATCGTGCTTTTGCGGTTACATAATGGCAAACCGTTATCGGTGTAGTTTGAAGGGAACTCGCCGGAACGCGTAAGGTTTCCATACATTGTCGTAGGACATCAAAGTCAGAAAGGCATGCAAGATTCAGCCTCAAAACGGGCAACTGAGGTGGTGTTGTATTAAAAACATTTCCGTTCGAGTGAAGGATGGCTCAGTTCCCCCGGATCATGAGAATCATGCGCGTGACTAACCTTACCAATTGGTTGTTTCGGCCTTGTCAGAAGCAGTGCATTGATGCAATACGTTAACAAGTCCCAGACGCTCTTTCGAATACCAATGACTCGTCTATCTTGCAACCCCAACAATGTCATCAGCTCACGGACGCAACTCCAAAGTATATTTTGCCGTGTGACCGTCTATAGTTTAATGCCGGCAACTAAACATGTGTAGGACACATACTGCGAGGAAGTGTGATGAGATCGGGAGGGGCGTCTCAGATGTGCAAGCTTTTACGACAAAAAAAATTAAAGAGTACCGATATGTCAGACAACCACTGGCAAGTAAACTCTTGTCAAGCCAACCTAGTGATCTAGTGATCGAGCAAACGAAACTCTATACCACACGTACATACTCCCATTGCATTCACCCACAAGTGTCCTAACTGCCCAGGTGTGCAGGCCTGGAAGGGTTAAGGGAATATTTTGCGGACAGACAGGGTTAGGCCGGGCTTTTTAAAAACGTTGTCTACTTCCATAGGTACCCTAGGATAGGTATAAATGAATTGTGTGAGAGGGGCTGCTCCTTAACATTCAAATGTTCTCTGCGTTCAGGTTAAACATTTATATCGAGGAGTAGCCCTAGGAGTTGCTATTGCCGATACTGGGACCTTTCTCAAGCATCATATGGAATACAAGCAAGCCATGCCATGAATGAAAACCCGCCGAGAGAATCCCAAAGATTCCCCAATCAGCTATGGCTAGCCGAGAGAGGTCATAGTATAATTTGTAACTACAAAAACCTTATTTTCAGACTGATCTTGACTTAGCATGGAAAGCCCGTGCACTAGGATGCAGAAAAAGCAGATAATGGGCGAAGCTGAACAGTGGGTTAGTTAACACTGCCGTCAAACGTCCTATGGTCTGGCCCGTTGGGTCTGCTTCCTACCTAGCCTAGGTACCTAGGTACGCGAATGGATGTGGCCCTTTCCATGTTCCTGCCCAAGTGGGCTATGTAAATAGGTACGTAGAGGATGTGTATGACTTTATTGTCAATGTACACTGAAGAAACGGTGGGGTTTGCTTACTAGTAACTCGCATACCATGGGGTTCCCGTCCTATTCCGCCGTCTTGGCGAATTCATGGATGCCGGTGAACTACGTCACAGCATGAGACGGTTGCCGGCTGTGCCTCTCATCGGCGGCCAACGCCTATCGGTCGAAGCTCTGGCGATACAAGTCACGTCTAGCTACGCACAGGTAGCACAGGCATCTACCTACTATTCAGATGTGGTCAAATGCTGGTCATCTCTCAAGTTTTAAGTTGGACTTCGCCCGTGTATATTTCTTAGGTGTCAGTCAGTCTCCGGCTACCAAAAAAAAATGGAGACGGACCTCGGGAGATAAGGATTTTTTTGTGCTAAACCGAATTGGTCGGACCAAGACTCTGCCACCTTGACTCCCGAGGTCTTATCGACGGCCGAACTCGCTTCAAACAAACACCTTCAACACATCTCGGCCTCATTCAGGATGGCCCCAACCACGGTCCAGGTCGTGTCCGGCCTTCTCGGCTGGTCGTACATGCTCTGCTGGGCCGGCTCATTCTACCCCCAGCCTATCCTCAACATCCGCCGCAAGACGACGCTGGGCTTCTCTATCGACTTCGCCTTCCTCAATATCCTGGGCATGGCCTCTTATGCCATCTACAATATCGCCCTATACTCATGGCCGACCGTCCGACACGAGTATGCAGAGCGCTACCCCAGTCACCCGGAGCCAACGGTCCAGCTCAACGATATTGTGTATGCGTCCCATGGCGCGATCCTTGCAGTGATTATCTACTCTCAATTCTACCCTGCCCTCTGGGGATTTACGACCACAAAGGGCTTAAGACTTAGCCGTGTGGGCCTTGGCCTGTTCTGGTGTTGCAATGCTGCTATCCTGTTGGCGGTGCTCGCGGTCCTGATCAAGCCGGACTCTACAAGTTGGTCGTGGCTAGATGTTGTGAGTATAGACAATGCTCCAGGACTTTTGTTTCTCATGTGCAATTCTACAGCCACAGCCGTGGCCGTCGAATTCGCTGGATGCATGCAATTTTCGAGCACAGACACTAAAACATATCACCCCATCCGCAGATATTTGTCCTGGGAAATGTCAAGTCCTTTCTTACCTTGGTGAAGTATGCCCCACAGGCTGTGCTAAACTTCCAACGCAAGTCGACCGTGGGCATGAGCATTTTGCAGTTCAGCATGGACCTCATGGGAGGAATCCTGTCCTTGGCGCAGCTGTTTCTGGACTCTGCCAGCACTGGGAACTGGTCAGCCGTGTCGTCGAACCCGGCCAAGTTTGTGCTGGGCAATATCACCGTCCTCTTCGATCTTGTCTTCTTTTACCAGCACATGGTTCTCTACAGAGGGTCGCGGAAAGAGTCTTCAAGTGGTCGCGACGGGGAAGTTGATGAAAATGAGCCACTGCTGCCTTCCCGCGATGATGGCCCTCAGGAGTAGGTCGGGGTGGGACGTGGCTCATATGACGGCATATGGGAGGACCAGTGGTTTTTCTTCTACTGCCCATACATACAAAGTGTAAATATGCGGTGCATTCCAATGTTCATACAGTGGTAAACGCTCAACGACTTGGCGGGTTAGACATGGCCAGAGCAACGCGATACACGGTCACAAGACAAACATACTCAGAGAAGCGAAGACGGGTTTGAGGCGGAATAAAGTACAGGCATTTCGGCGGCTCTTACATCGTTCTTGCCTGTTTCCACAGGTTCTTGCTTCGCGGCGTTGACATTTGTGTGCGCTCATGGTCGGGATAACGAGATCTTTTTTTACACGCAGTGAGCAAGGGCAAGTAAGTACCTAGGTATTTAACGGTTTCGCATTTATTCCGTACACGTCCGAAGACACACATGGCGCTTTCATACAGTGGTAAGCGCTCAAAGCCCTCAAGTGCTCCTATGAAGTAGATGCTTAAAAACATTCAGAAAGCGTTAAGTTCTTAAGGTATAAATTGTTATCAGATTGTGCCTTAAGTTGACATAGTTGAATGATTCCCCCATTTGAAACGCTCAGGCAACTGTCTGAGGACCCCACCAAGCCAACGGCGCGGGGTTGCGTGTGCACGTTGACGTTGACTCAGCCAACTGTCATTTCTGCCTAGCGACTTGATCTCGCCATCTTCCCGCCCCTGTTCCCGGATCGACTTTGCAGCCTGAGTAGAAATCACCGACGCTCATCCACCCCTGAAGCTCGCCATGTCGACCAAGAAGATCCGAATTTTGTTCTTGGGCGCATCGTTGGTGGCCGGGTACTCATGCATGGGCGCGGTTTACCATCCCTTCTCACAACATGTCGCCAGTATGCTTGGGACGATCCTGCCGGATACAAAGATCGAGACGGTCGTGGACGGTGTGCCCGGCGATATGGTGACAAGGGGGAGATTTCTAGAGCGGATGCAGAAACATTGTAAGTAAATGAAATACCGTAAGAACCTGGCGCATGGGGAAGTCACTGATTTGCTGTGGCAGTCGGCAAGGGCCAGGAACCCTTCGATTGGACCATTGTGCTGGGCGCGACGAAGTAGGTCAAGGAATTGCTTGGTTCTACATAACTATCTGACCTTGTCATAGTGACATAGCATTCAACATCCAAGGAGATGAGATCATAGAAGCCTTCAAGAAGATCTGGGATATCCCGCTTTCCCATGGAAGCAGGGTGCTGGCGCTCACCGTTCCTAGAGCGACCATCGACAAGAACAACGCTGGCCTCGTTCACCGAAGAAATGTTCTCAATCAGTTGATAAAAGATCACAAGGCAGAAAACTTGTAAGTCTCTCACATGCAAGAGATACTTCCATGCCTAAGCGTGCAGTATTGATCGACTAACACATTCATAAAGCTACACTTTTGACCTTCACGATGCTCTGCCGTGTGACGAAAACCACCGCAAATATTGGGACGACGCGATCCACTTCACCCCTGAAGGATACACCTTTATCGGTGAAAAGGTCGGTGTGGCCCTAATGGGTCACATTGTCGCAGAGAGAACAAAAGCAGCATAGTCGCTAGTACTCGTGAGGACTTCCTGTGTGGACGAATCCGAACTGGACCGTAAATTCTTGTCATCCCACAATTGAGTGTAGAGGAGTGGTGAGTGTAGAGGAAAGCAAATGAGACGGGGCTATAGACCCTGCGTGTCGATCTGAGCCCTTAAGCGGGATAGATCTTGCGAGGTTGCTTTAAGCATAGCATGATCGCCCTGGGCAAAAATACTACCTCAGTTTGCGCGCCCATAGTGAAGCTCTTCAAAGCCGTCACCGAGCACTGACTCGTATTTTCAGCTCATTGCACAGGCGGATAAGGAATCCCCCACTGCAATCGCTGCCAAAAGCAATATGCCATTTCGTCTATCGAAACACAGGGGCAGGGTCTTGCTGTAAATAGCATCCGGTAAGTCGGACAGCCCGGTTTGCTTGACCGGGTTACCACCTTAATGGCATGGCGTGAGCCAGCATCCCCTGCCTTGCTCCGTGGTCAAAGTTTCGATGCACCGTTACAAAACATCAGGCCAAAAGGTATAAGCAGATGTGAATGGCCCCCTCATCTTGACAGCGGGCCACCTCGTACATCATCGATTGACTTCAACAACAGGCGCGCGCGATTGCCCCCTCCTCCTTCACGCCCATCCACAGCTCACGATGGACAACCACCTGTCCCTCAGCGAGAAGGGCGCCGCCGTGAAAGCCACGTCGATATCCAACACATCCATGAGCACCCTCACAAAGACGGTCTCTGCCTCGTCCCAGCAGCAGGCCAACATCGAGTCGCTGCCGGCGTACGTGATCGAATGGAGCCCGCAGCAGCGGCGGGTGCGGTTCCTGCGGACGACGGACGACCTCGCGACCGAGCTCAGCCCAGCCAACTGCGAGCGCCTCAACGACTCGCTCAAGCGCCTGTTTGTCGTCCACGGCAGCCCGCAGGAGTACGTGAGGCTGCTGCAGCGGGCCCTCTCCATCGACCCGCTGTTCATCAAGGCGCATGCGCAACGACGGAGGTACTCGCCTATTCACCGCCGGCCGGGAGACCGCTGGGCGTGCTTCGAGTACCCCGAGCTGTGTTCTTATGGAAACACCGGTGGCGGGGACGCCGAGGCGAAGGAGGGAGCACAGGCTGCGCTGCCTGCGTATCCTCTGTCGGACGAGAGTTCTGATGCTGTGATGTTCTGCCGGGCATCGCTGTGGCTCAATGGCGAGAATGACGGCGGTAGGTGATATTGATCCTGTCTACCTAGATAAGTCACGTTTCTGCGGACAACGTCATGCTAAGTTCCCCATCCAGTCCTGTTTCTCAACGACCCACCATGGGCAGGCTCAAACCCCCTCATGCGCAAGCAGACGACAATGGTGGCCCTGCACGCCGCAGCCCCAGACAACACGGGCAGCCGGGACGACGAGAGCGTCGACGAGCACCACTCGAGCCTCGAGGTGATCCTGCAGGAGGCGATGCGCGACCCGCAGCAGATGCGCCTGGGCGTCCGCGCCCTGCTCTCGGAGCTCGTCTACACGCACTGGCTCGCGTACTTCGAGTCGCCGCTCATCGACCCGGAGGAGCACCCGGCGCACGTGCTGTCGCTCGCCTGGCGCGTCCAGCTCGCCGTCGAGCACAACCTCAACATCACCCGCTACCTCACGCGCTGGGGCTTGCCGATGCCCATCACCGCGACGGAGTGGGAGGGGCTGCTGGACCGGAACGCGCGCCGCGTCGACCTTGCCACTGTCGCGGCTGGGGGGGCCAAGGCCATTGCTGACGAGTTCCGGTCGATCCAGGCCGGGAACAACACAAAGCGGTCGCTTGCGCCAGGCGAGAAGGACGAGAACTCGAGGGGTCTGGACCGGATCTCATACCTTGGTGGTATCCTACTGCCGTTTACCATTGTCCCTTCTATCCTGTCTATGAGCGACCCATTCGGCCCGACTGGCGGATTGTTCTGGGTATTCTGGGTCGTGTGTGCGCCGCTCACCGTCATCACGCTGCTGTTCATCTACGCCGACTCGATCCGCAAGGCTACCGTGTGGATCGAGGTCGCTGCCGATGAGGCCAAGATGGAGGAGCAGGCGGGCCAGACCGCAGGTGCTGTTGATGACGACGGCGCATTTGAGCCGAAGCCCCTGCTCGGCAGCAGTAATACCGGGGGACCTGGCCACGTCATGGAGGAGGGAGTTGAGACCTTCCCCACGGTGGTCATCCAGAGGCCACAGGATGGCAGGCCGGCCAGGGCGTACAAGAGGCAAGAGCTGGGCTGGACCGGAGCCATGAAGACCATGGTCGGGTATGGGAATAATGATCGCTTGCAAGTGCAAGAGCCCACTATTACGGAAAGCACAAGAAGACCGAGTGCGAGCATACGACGGCCGATGAATAGGACATATACTGGCCAGTCTCGCGGCTATTAGTATGCTTAATGTTAGGCAACCTGTTAATGATGATGCCAATAATTGCTCTCTTGGACTGAAAGTTTGTCTATTGTCTGTTCTATGCTCCCGTAAAACGACCAGATGAGGCCCCTTCCATCATCGAGATCCATGAAATAACCCAACTGCGCCGATCTTTGTCCGTCAATCCAGACCAGCCCAGTCCGCGCACCGTGTCAAGCGGTACTGGTCAACTGATTGGCCTGGAGGGATGTCCACTCCAAGTCTTTCACCTCAAACTACCAGTCAAGTCGCCCTTACTAAGGTAGTTATCCGGCTGCTTATGGAAAGGCACTCGGTCCTCTACAATTTCAGCTTGGTCTCCACAAACAAAGAGTCTGCCTTCGCCAGCTTCACACCCTCACCATCCTCCATGTGGCCCTCGACCCAGATTTTCCGCCCCTCCGTCCTAACCAGCCTGGAGACAACCATGACAGTCGCCGGCGTCCTGACAGGCTTCAGGTACGTCGTATTCAGATAGGCGGTGACGTACGACGGCCCCGGCGTCCCGCTGGTTCCCCGGTTCTCCCCGCTAATCATCCTGACCCCCGGCGCGGCATACCCGAGCACCTCGTCGAAGATGGCGGCCACCATCCCGCCGTGGGAGATGCCCGGGTGCCCATTCAGGTCGTCCCCCAGGGTGATCAGCGCCTTGACCTCCGGAACCAGAGCCCGCGGGTCCGTGGGCCGCGGGTAGAAAAAGATGAAATGGGGCAGGGTGCCGGGGCTGTTGATGGTGACTGAGAAGAGGGTGTCCTCGTTCTTGGGCTTTCGGCCGCGGGTATAGGCTTTCGAGATGACGAGGTCTGTATTTGGGGGCTCTAGGTGTTTCAGGCACCATGGGATTTGTTTGAAGTGCTCGATGTCTTCTTGTGTTGCTTGTAGGTGGCTCGGTGTGGCCATATTGGAATGCAAGCCTTCAATGGTTGTTGGAGGAAGGAGTTAGAGTGTTTGTGTGACGTTGAATTTCTGAAATCAAATAAGATGCTATTGGCTGAAATAACCCACGCTCAACGGAAACTTCCATTATATATCTTGCATCTGCAGGTGGCGGTGAAATTATTCAAAGTGAGGGGTGAAACATGACACGGAAACCTTGATTCAGGTGAGCCGAGGCAATTCCAAAGGCCTGGGAACAGCTCTGATTGGATCAAGATACCTTAAATTGTGGGTCTCACATGGACGTTTACAACTCCCTTCTCTCACCTTCACAACATGCTTCCGGAATAACAGAGTATAAGGGTGAGTGAATCGTCTAACATGATATTTTGAGTTCCCTGAACGCCTTCTATGATAATTCTACCACCCACCCTTAAACAATTGTGCGCCATACCAGTACAGCCAACCCAAAGATCACATCAAAACGTCGGCGCAACCCTCTTCTCTTGTTGTCCATAAGAATGCACCCTCTCACTCAGCTTAAAAGACTTTAACGATCCAGCCCTGACACTCTGCATAGACGGCGCCCTCGACCTCATCATCACATGAGTACCACCAGGGCTCATCGGCGGACCAGCCATGGTGCTCCGCTGCATGGGCGGACTCGCCGGCCCCCCCGTCGCAGACACGTTGCTCCTCTTGCGCCCGTGGAACTTGCCCATCATGGCCGTGATGGCCGTCGCCGCGTCCATCGGCGGCGACGGCGGCATGCTGGGCCCCGGGCCGCCGCCCACCCCGCCCATCATCACCATCCGCCCGCGGGCGTCGCGCCCGTCGACGCTGGAGCCCCTGCTGCTCGGCGGCGTGAGGTGCATCAGCCCGCCCCCGGACGGCATGCCCGCGATGCCCAGTCCGTGTGGCACCTGATGGCCGCCCTCTGCGAGGCCTGACAGGCTGGGCGGCAGGACGGCCGGCATCCTCGATAGCCGCCGGATCGACCGCATGTTCTTGTCGATGAAGGAGCTCATCCGGCTGAGGGCGCTGCCGTTCTCGTGTGACTCGAGCGCGCTGGTCGCGTCGGGTGGCGCTCGTCCGCGCGCCGCGTCTATCGCGCTGGGCGTCGCCCTGTTCTGCTGCTGCTGCTGCTGCTGCTGGATCTGGGGGAGGTGTGCGCCCAGGCCCTGGCGCACCTGGCTCATGACGTGGTCAAAGTCGATGTTGGTCTGGAAGGCCGGCCGTGCCGGCGCCGGCACGTGTGACGACGACGACGAGGCAGCGGCGGCGGCGCTGTTCATGCTCAGGTTCTGCGTGAGCACGAAGAAGGAGCCGTCCCTGACGCTCGACCGGACCAGCCTCCAGCGCGTGCGGGCCGGGTTCCGCTCGATGGTGGGCTGGTAGACAGAGTACTGCGCGAGGTTGGCGTAGAAGATCTCGAGGCGCTTGGCCACGCGCTCGAGCAGCTGCATCAGGAACGTCGCCAGCGCGACGACCCTCTCCTCGGGCGAGTCCGCGTCCTGGCTCATGAGCGCGTCGAAGGCGTCCATGCCCGCGCAGGCCTCGGCCCGCACGTCCTCCAGCAGGCTGATGTCCATCTCCACCGACTTGCTGGCGTAGTCGATGATGCCGCGCTCGTGGAAGCGGGCTTCCTCGCTGTTGCCTACGAACTCGCCCACCCGGGCGATCTCCTTGGAGGTCTTGATCGCGCTGCCTGATGTCTTTGCCCGGGCCACGACGCCCAGGACGTCGGGCAGGTTGGTCGACGGTCCTGCCGAGGATGCGTTGGCGAGGCTGAAGGACAGCTTGAGGATGAGCTCCTGGAACTTGGAGCCGAACAGCGCACTGAATCCGGTCTGCAGGAGGCGGGATTGGTACTGGTAAAAGGACCGCACGCCCTTGATGTTCAGGAGTCCCGGCCCCTGGTACCACCACTTGGATGGGTCTAGGGTCTGGTTTGTGATCATGGCGTTCATCTCCATCTGGTGCGCCACGAGGGTCTCGACGTTGGTCCTGAGGTATGATGACCACAGCTCGTACAGCATGTCCAGGTCATCGTTGCCGTGGAAGTCCGGCTTGGGCGTGAGGTGGCCGATGAAATACTTGGTCAGAAGCGACGACACCTCTGGGTTGGTGGTATGTGCGAGGTTGTCGAAGGACGCCGAGCAGTCGACTCCAGCATTGGACTTGATGATCAGAGTTCCGCCTGGATGCATCGGGCAGAAGTCTGTCACGTCGTACACCTTGCCGTGCACGCCGATCCAGATCCTCGACGCACCCCTGTGGCCTGTGTTGAGGGCAAGCTGGGAGAGCGGGATGGTAGGGAGGTTGCACGGGAGTGGTTTGGGCGTCATGAAGACGTCCAGCATGAACCGGCGCTCCGCAAACGCCGCGTTGATGAGCTCCTCTGCCGAGTCCAGCGTCGACGTGCGGTGGTTGTAAATGGCCTGCCTTATACCCTTCATGACGGAGTCGAACACTGCCACAGATCCACACACGTACAGGTAACCGCCCAGCCCGCCGTGTTTCTTGCTCATGACCAGATCGCAGATGGTCGAGCCCTGCTCGGTAATCAATGTGTCGATGTACCGGGGCGGCGTGGTCTTTTCAACCAGCTCACGGCCCTGCATGGCCAGGCCCCTCGAGTCACGGGAGAAAGCCACGTGGACCTCCATCTGTCCCTCGCTGACGTTTTGGCGGAGCTCGTGTTCATAGCAGAACTTATCCCGTGACTGGATACCGAGATACAGAATGTTGCGGCCAACTGCGCCGCTCTGGATACGGGACTGCCAGAAGCTACGGAAAGGCGCGATTCCACTACCACCGGCGAAGAAGGCACAAGGAGATGCACCGCTCAACGGGAGCTGGAATGCCTGAGGACGCGACACGCCAATGAGTACATCCTCCTCGATGGGGATCATCTCGTCGTTGGAGGCGACGACGGGATTGAGGAACCCACTGCTGACACCACACCTCTTGATCTTGGCTTCACCAGCGAACGTCGAGCTGAGCATATACTCAGACCGGGAGACGCTCAGGTCGACAGTGCTGGGGAGAAGCTCGTCGGGGAAGCTAGAAATGGAATATGTGCGCGGCACTTCAACCGGCACGAGCTCACACAGCCATGAGAGGTCATGCAGGTTGAAGGCCGAGTCCCAGACCGCTGGCTGTGTGTCTTGCACGGCAGACTGGAGCAGGTCCCCCAGAGATCCTCGTACCGGCCACTCGTCGGTGGCCAGGACCTGCAGCGCGGTGTTGGACGACGCCCTCAGCATCGAGTGGATCCTAAGAACGAGCTCCTGGGTAAGTGGTGCGAGGTGACCCCTTCGCAGGATGTCCTGGACGGTGATGGGCCCCCTCGGAGACCTGGATACGGATCCCAGGTGGTCGGCGAACCTGGCCCATTCCTTGTTAACGGGGACCTGGACGTTGAGCATCTCGTCCAGCCCAAGCGAGGCGGCGACCTTGGCGCATTCTTCCCAGCTGTTGAGAGGCATCACCGCGAGCCGGTCACCAGGCTGGAACGTGATGCCAGTATCCTGAATATCCAGCGTCACCATGGCGATGCCCCGGTCCGGGTCGTTGTCGACAAACGACCTCCCCAGGACCTTGGCCTTGTACCTGCACTCGGCAAAGCTGCCGCGCATCTGATGCGGCTCGATCGAGACGTCGGTGCGGTACGGCTCCAGCCGCTCCTTCATGGCCTCGGAAAACTGCTTGTGCGTCTCCTCCCAGGGACGGCCTGCGTCGGCAGCCCCGGACGCGCTGTTGGTCTCCGTGCGGCCCGTCTTGCCCGCGACCTCGAGGATGCCAAACACCTTGTACCTGTGCACGCCCATGAAGCCCCTCTCGCCCGTGTAGGCCTCGACGATGCCGTCCAGCACGCCCATCAGCCTCGGGTCGCCGGATTTCATGACGAACTCGGGCACGGAGTAGTAGCCCTCCACTGCGGCGATGAAGGCCCGCAGGTTTGAGGGCTCCCAGGCCCGGAGGTGGATCCCTTCCGCGCCCAAGAAGGAGTCGTACTTCTTGCGCCCGAGGAAGGCGTCCATGAGCAGGTAAGGTGGAAACTGAAGCCCGCTCGAGGCTGGACACCGCTTCGACAGGGGAGCCGAGAACTTGGCCCAGCGCACCCACTCGTTGGCCGGGACGTAGTTGTCCCCCGACATGGGGTTGGGGCTGATGGTGTGAAAAGCGTTGGGCATCATCTCCAGGATCTCCTTCAGTCTGATCATCTCCCTCAACAGGCCCTCGACGTCCCTGTTCATGACACACTCCTGGCACGCCGCGATGGCGTCCGGCCCGTGCTGGAAGCTGGCAGAGGTGTCTGCCACGCCCTTGAGGAATGCCATCTCGGCCTGGTCGCCGAACATGGGCCACCTCATGTCCATGTTGTCGAAGCGGGCCACGTACGGGTGCGTTGAGTTGTGGTCGCGGATCTTGACGTTGTAGCTCGACTGGTCTACAAAGGTAAGATGGGGGATCGGCCGGCCCATCCGCTTCGAGACCTGGAAGTAAGGGAGGCCGATGCTCCGGGGCAAGCCCTTCACCTCCTCCACGACGTCGTCGCTCAGCTCCACCTTGGGCTTGTTGGAGCTGCTGAGGCTGACGCCCTCGTGGCCGTCGTGCTTGTCCTCGTACCGGCAGATGGAGCACAGCATGCCGAGGGCCACCAGCGCCGCCCACAGCGCGTTGTCCGGGATGACGTCCTCTGTGGCCTCCACGACGGGGAGGGAGGCGATCGAGTCTCGGACCCGACCCCGTGCCACGCAGCCCGGCATCCGCTCGCACAGGTCGGACCATATCCTCCCAGGCGAGTTGGCTAGAGATGCTACCGAGGAGTCGAGCGAGTCCGGGGGGACGAAGCCGTACTCGGCTGTGAGGAACCCATCCCGCCACCCGCTGCGTGGTCCGACCTCCTCGGCTCGGATAATCACCTGGCGTGCTGGGGCACCGAGGGCGGCGGCCAGGATGTCCTTCTCGCTGGGCGGGAGCGTGTCGATGTTGTCCCTCGCGAACCTGTTCAGGTCCCTGGCTGATGTATCTGGAAATAGCAGGGCGTTGATGGCCTTGCGTTCTCTGCGCGGTGAGGTCGTCGGATCAGCACACTGACATGATGGACCTGTGGTGCGGTGGCGGTCTTACCTTGCTCTCAGCCACTCTTCCGAGTCGACGCCTGCTGGGATATCAAAGGCTGTTCGCAGGTCCCCAGGCTGACAGTATCCGGAAAAGGAGCATCCTCTCGGTCCAACTCTGCTGCTGCTCCTGCTCGCCCGCCCTGCTGCTGGACACCGTCCGCCCGCCGATTTTGATACTGGGCAAGACCTCTCTGACATTTTGGTGATGTGTTTCTGTATAGTCTATAAAATGCTTTTGGGGGGGGGGTATTAAACCTGTAGGGCCGTATGAAGCCTCCGGGGCTGATGACAGAAAATAAAAAACGCCAGCGCTGGTATAAACTACAATAAAGCATAGAGTAACTACCGCATGTAAATGAGAAGGACCATGTGAGGCTGTCTTGCACCGGTCGGCTTGAGGAGCAAACCAGGCCTACTATTTACCTCACTCCAGCTCGCCCCCTAAAAAGGACAAGGCCCAGTCAGCATAGACCTCATCACTTTGCCCATGATGTCGCCCAGCCAGCAACGTCGCTTGTCCATCGGGGGCTGAAGCAGAGCCAGCCAGGGAACGAAACGTCCCCACCGCGGCAAGCATCCGCTGTTCATCAGCCCCAGGTTCGGGGTAGTCCGCCCGGAGGGGTTGGCCTGTCACCGGGAGCAGGTTCTATACTTGGAAAGGAGAGCGTCCCATTGGCGGGGCCATAGCAGACTCTGCCATCCCATCGGGCCCCTCTATTTTTTGTGACGTGCAGATCATGGGTGGTGGCAGTTTCGTCGGACAGAGAAGAAGTGTCTTGCATGACAAGTGCTGCCAAGAACGTCCCCCGTGCAGTCTGAAGCAGTGATTACCCACCTATTTGCGCCAAGCGCAGTGGGATAGGCCCTGTTGTGTGTTCTCCTGTCGTCTGAAACCTTATGGCGGGCCGAGCCTCGGGATGTGGGATCAAGGCGTGTGGTGTAGCCCCCAAGCGGGTCCTCCTCGGTAAAACGCCGCAACGCACTGTGATTATCTCACCGGTGGTGCCTGGAAGGGTCGTCTGCCCACACCATTGGAGGCTGGACGAGGTGCACCGTGCTCATAATCATGTGTTCTGGCGTCATTTCAACGCGGGTAGAGGTGCCGCATACAACAAGGTTAAATGTTCCGGTTTAAGCTTCATTCCGAAGAGACATTCTTTTGTGTCATCTCGTCGTCGCGCCGATTCCCTAGGGGTCCATACCGCATTGGGAGGTGTGATGAGAAAGGGGGGATACACGGTACTACCTAAGCACTACATTCTCGTAGTACTCTGTCAGGCCCCCAAGGATAGCCCCAGGATGAGTACCAAGCACGATATGATCGGACACTGATCAACATCCTGGCAGGCCTGGGATCATGGCGGTTTCCCGGGTAAAGCTGAACAGTTCCAAGGTTCCGAACGATCATGATCTACACAATGTGCATCCATTATTAGCAGAGCTCTAGAGCTTCCAAGCCGCCGTCGCCGTCTATGCAGCTGTCCTCGCATGGCTTTGCCCAGTCGGCCCCACTCCTGGCAACGTGCCAGCCGCTCATGCTGCCATGAGAATCCAGAAGGCACCCTTGGCGGGGCTGCAAAGGAGAGCTGTCATGTTCGGCCTGTTTCTGGGCGCCAATCCGGCACTCTGGCACATCCCAAGGTTTTTGTTTGTTACAATTGCCCGACGCGTTGCCTTCGCTTCCGAAGTGCACTGTCACAGTGGACCACAGTCGCTGGCTACAAGCTCCAGACTCTACTGGCCCGTCCTTATTGGCCCCACATCTGTTCCTCGTCCAAACATCGCCAAGGCACGTCTGTGCGAGGAGCCTGTCTATTTGCATGGGTTGAGTGATCTCACTACTCGAAGATCATGTATCACCAGTGATCTCTTTACGTACTGACTACAAAAAGGGGCTGTGGGGATTTATGATTCGCTTAAGCTTGTGCAGTCAAGCTCGCCAAGCTTGGGGAAAGCAATAGCGAGTTCTGTGTGGAGTCCGTCTGAAAAGCCGATCGTCTGATGGTCCACAGCGCATGCCGTGTCAATGTCAAATTTCTATTTTGTAAATCTGAAAATTTCGAGTGCGTAGTTGAGACGGCGGCGTGACTCGATAGTAAATGCCTTGCGAGAACACAGTCAGGAGCGTCGCACAACTGGATGCAGTCAAGCGTTTTGCGAGTCCGAAGCACTGACGGAGAATCGTTTGGTACGTGATAACAACTTAACCAACCCTCGCTCAAATCTATTGGCACCAAGAATGATACTGAAAAGGATTTATATTCATCACTAGCGTGCGAATGCGGCTAATCTGATCTGCGATGGCAAATTAGTGGGGCTCACGGTGGATATAGTCTAACACGTTCCAGACGGTGAAATGGAGCCGCCACGCAAGCTGCCAAGCTCATGCGAGGCGCACAGATACAGGTGTTGCCCACGACTGGTTGCCAGAGGACATCTTGACTGCAAACTGCGGAATTTCCGAACGCTACCTGCCTGCAGTGCCCAGGCGACCACTCTGTCACAGGAGCCTTCGCGGCAAAATCAGGGGCTTTTTGTTTTTCACCCATAATAAATACGTGATGCAACGGCCGGGAAAACAAATAAGCGACACGACCAGGATAGCGTAGCGAGCGGCAAGAGTCAAATTCGGTCAATTGAGCTGCATGGAAAGTATGTCAAAGAGCTTCTCAAAGGTTCTGCTGCTTCTACACGTGTAGCGAAGGTACATCATCACCGTTGACGACCGCCCGCGCAGTCGACCAGCCGGAGAAGACCAAGTGGCTGAACACAAGGGGACACCTTAGAGACGGTACATATAAATGTTACTATGCGACAAAGAAGCACGTGCTCTTGTTTCAGTACTTTACATAACTTGGCCGTTGGCCACCGGCGTCAAGAGAGCTGGCTGCCAAGACATGCCACATGGACCTGCCCTCGATCTACTGGGGTCTACTGCTGATCTGATACATGCCCAGGTGTGGGTAGCCCGTTTGTGTAGCCGGGATGTGGGCCACCACCGCCGAACCACATCTCGTAGCCGCTTTTCTGGGAATGTAAACAACATTGAACACAGAGCATCAAGGCACGCCCTTCCGCTCAGACAAACTCTGTACCAGAGTCTCCTCAAGACTCAAGGATTCTCCTAATCCAATTCCCAGACCTCGTTCCCTTTACCAAATTCCAACTGTCTTTTCGACGATTTTCAGCTGCACTTCCATACAGACTCGAATCGCATTGGATTTCCGCTACAAGCCCTTTCACCAAAAAGTAGGCCAACGGCCAAACATCCACAAAACTTGAGCATGAGATCATGTGCGGCTCACCTCGGCGCTTAGGCTCGATTAAGAGGGCATTGGCCCGTTAGACCTCTTCCGTGCGCCCTACTGACACAGCCAAGAAGAATGCTTACGTGCACCCTGGTCACTCCCGAGGTCTTGGCCGCACCCCCTTCCTGAGACTGCCCCTGACCGGCCGTCTACAGATTTGCTCAGTCCTTTCCACCGGACAAAATCATCGAAGTGTCTGTGAGCTGATGGCGACATTCCAAGATCCAATTGCTGTGAATGCCAAACGGTTCGGAGAGACACCCGGAATGGTGGACACAGCTTGTGAACCAGAAGTCAGTTGGAGCCGAATACTTCGTCATTTGGCTAGAATATTCATGTCCCATAATCGGAAGTATTCCCGGTGGGCTGGAGCAAGTTAGTACCTAACTATTAGACGTTTACCTCCCTTCTTTAGCCCCTGTGAGTGGGATTCGTGTGACTACACTAGAATGACACCAGGCCCGGTCCTTTGGGTGACCTTGGATTGCTTTTGAAAGCTTAGGAATGGAGAACAGTCTGTGAGCTCATATTTACCTAGGTACTTGCAACCTCAGTCAAGCTCCCTAGGTTTCCCGGGGCTTTCGAGGTATCATTCTACGACGACGAAAGTATCAAGCCTGTGTGATTGACTGGTACCGGTCAGGGATTCTTCACTGTCAGTGCTAAAAACTAACCCTCCGCAATTCCCCGGAAACTTTTGTGTTGGCCCAATCAGGTCTGGTCATGCACGTTCGCCTTGATCGTAAGCGAGGTTACCCGTGGGTTCGCTGTCGCTTTAAGGAACCCACTGCTGGCGCAGTGGGTGCTAAAACCCCCGCACGGCCAAAACCTCTATATACTTTTTGGTGTAATTTTGGCAGACTCTAATTCTAAAAAGCTGGATTTTAATTTAACTTATAATAAAAATAGTTAAAAATTCAATTTTCTTAATTTTAAAGTTAAATAACTTAAAATAGTATAAATTAATCTTTAGAATTTAGCGATTTTAAAACTTCTCTTTTTTTTAATTTAAAGCAAAATTAAAAGAGTTGAATTAATTTGAAGTTAAGAGATTTTCCAAAATCGCCAAAATCACACCAAAATTTTAGCAGGCGTGTACGGAGGTTTTGGCCGTACGGGGGTTTTGGCACCCACTGCGCCAGCAGTGGGTTCCTCAAAGCGAGAGCGAACCCACGGGTACACTGTTACAGCACCTGAGCGACAATTCACATTCTGTGCGGCACGAGCCTGAGGCCACGTCCCAGGGAGAGTTGCCTTACACTGTTGTTAGCATTGTGTTTTTTTTTAAAAAAAGTGAGGACGCTGGGTCTCAATGAAGGCGCCATATACGTTTTGTATATATGGGGATTAAAAACAAAACCACTTCTCACTACATGAAGGTGCCGTGCGTTTTTGGGGTTGTATACGGATTAAGGGCGAAACTATAATCTCATATGGCTGAAGCACGAGAGGTGGGATTTTTGTAGATCTCCAGCAGTTATGAACTCAGTAAATCAAGCGCACTACATATTCCATGGAAAGAAAACGGACTAGTGGAAGGCTTAGGACTCATTACCGAAGGAGTCCAATCTCTCCTGCCTCCTGCGCGCCCTTTCGCCCTCATCATGACCTTGGTGTAGCTCCGTCAGATAATTCTTGAAGTCCTTGGAGAGAGCCAAGACTGATTTGAGGTGCCGGTCAGTCACGAGGATGGTCCCCTCCTTGTCCCGCCTCCCTTCATGTTCGGCAAGGGCAACCGCGGTCTGGAAGGCTGTTTCAGAAATCAGAGAATTAGCTCGCTGTAAATAACGGCAGAGAGGCGCGTGGCCAAAGTTGAATACCGGGGTTACGCACCATTCCTGATCTCTCTACCGTTCCACTTGATAGCTCGAATCTGTTCGCCCTCAATGTACTCCTGCGCCGGCAAGCTAACTCGCATGTACAATTTCCCAGACTCCGCATCGGTATTGTCGTTGTGCAGCTTGTCGATGAAAGTTTGCCACACCCTCTGCCGCTCACCATCGGTGAAGTCCCTATAATAGAGTTGGATGTGGACTCGTGAGATAAAGGCATCATCAAAAGATCCAACACGGTTGGTTGTGAGGAAAAGGATGCCGTCATAGAATTCTAGAGCGCGGAGAAATCCTATATTGTCTTGATTAATTATCAAGCTTGAATTCCCGACAAGTATTGCAGATTGCCATCCGGACATATCTGGACTCACCAGCTACCAAGCTATTCCTCGTCAAGTCGTTGCTTGAGCGACGCTCCATGAATACATCGGCCTCATCGATGAGCAAGATTGCACCCCAGCTTTTTGCAGTCTTGAAGTGTCTCGTTAAGTTTAATTCCACCGAGTCCGGGTCTATACCGATGTCGCTATTTGTCAGTGTCATCAACGGTCGCTTTGTATACTCGGCAATGCATTCTGAATCGGTCAGCTGAACTCTGAAGTGAATTGAAGAAAGTCAAACGACTGACCTGCAGTGTATGTTTTCCCCACGCCTGGTCTACCATGTAGCAGGAACGTCATTCCGGTTCCCTTGCCCTTGACAAAATCTGCCGTCCATGCTGGCCTGTCAATGGTGTCGCCATCTTGGTTCACCCGTATGAAGCTTTGAGCAAGAGCCTTCAAAGTTATGACACGTTCCTCATCCGTGACTAAGCTATTGATCATATCTTGCTGGAATTGTGGATCCCTGAAGTTGTTGACATGGAAGATGTCTAGTAAATAACGATTTCATTAGCATTATGCACCTGTCCATGATGAAGTAGAGCCTCACCCCATGATCGTGACTTAAACACAAACGCAGGCACTTCGGATGGACAGAGAAGATATTGATGATCAGAGAGCTGCGACCATCTGAGACGCGTTATCTTGCTGTAGTTCTCGAACATGGTTTGCGTGCCAGTTTCGAGCTTGATTGACCTCTGTTTGCAGACACTGCAAACGCAATCATTGGTCCATCTGCGGAGGTCCGAACCTTCTAGTTGACTGCGAGTAGAATCCAGATTTTCTGCATAGTACTGTCGTGCATCTGTCATTACAAGCCCCTCGACCTATAAATATCTCGTTAGCCATTTCGGCAGACGCCTTGCCACCACGCGAAAATGATGAGAACCTGCAAGGAGTTCCATATCATATTGACCCTCGGGGACTGACCGTATTATGCGGGAAATTGCAAGAATCACCGGCATGGTACTTGCACTTTTTTTGGATAAGCTCCCAATACTGCCTTCCATAATCGACAAGTCTTTTGGCTTCTTCGTCTCTTATGTCCTTGGTATCGGATATGAAACGAAATGAACTCTGGTCTTTTTCACCAGAGAACCGTTCCATTGTGCACCCACTACTGACGCGACCAAGAAAACGCCCGTCAAACGCGAGTGACCAGCCATTTATTACCCACTCCTCAGGAGGGTCGACAAAGGTCCCGCCCGTGATGTCGGATATCACGCATGCTTGCCAGGCAGTGGTTGTTCTGATCGATGACAAAATTGTTGTTCCGGGTTTGAAGGCGTACCAGAAGCTGTCGAAACTCAAGAAGCCCCTCTTTATACGGGCCATCTCAGCTCTTATGTTGTCCATGACGGTCTGGTCGAGATAGTCCAGTAGTGCCTGAATGTCCTCGGGTGCATGAGTTTCTCTGACGCAAAGCTCACTTGGTTCTTTCAGCAGGATTTGTTTCCGGAACTCTGCCAGCTCATCATAATGGTGAACTAACACAGGATACGGCCAATCCACTTCGAGAGCGTCTCCATTGAGTGATTGACTTGGGTAGTATTGGACAACTGAGTTCAATGCATTGCGGAGAGCAGAGGAGTAGATCCGCAACTTGTGACGAGGCGGGGTGCCAAATGAGCGTGGAGGCGGGCCTTCTCTCGTTCTTTCCCCTGTCTTGGAAGATCTCTTAACACTCTTACTGTCGCCTCGCGCTCGGTATATTGTAAGGATCTCGAAGATTGGATCGCCAATGAAATCCAACCCATCATTATGATTCGCAGAGGGCGTTCGCGAGTTTTCTTCCCAGACGACGTCGTCGTTGTTTTGATCGAGATACTCAGTCCGGTACCGTATCCATGGTCGCTTGTGCACATCAGTGGTAGTGGTTGTTTGAAAAGCGACTTCTTTCCCGTGACCGGATTGGGGTCTAGATTTTGTTGGCGCCGATTCTTCTTGCAACTTCAGGTCGTCCGAGTCCATGTCCTTGACCATTTTTTTCTTTATGGTGCTTGGAGTTGAATCGCCCTGTCCCACACGATACTCTTCATTTGTTGGGGTGGATTGTTAACGAAAATTTGTACCATACCACAAACCACACGAGTGAAGTGGCGATCAAAGATTAGCCGGTGTGAAATGACGGGCTGCGCACCAATTGGCAGTTGTTAGCATGTCGAAGCAAGACAAGCACTACCAAGCAACTAGATGGAGCATGGACCTGAGAAGTTCGAACCCGCAAGAGTATACTATAGCGGGGACAATAATGTTTCTTGAAATACTCTACCATGTCGGAGCCTTGTGACCAAGGATTGCTATCATGCGTGTTTGTGTACTCGTATTCGCCATAGCCAGTATATGTCGTGCAACCTGTAAAGCCAAGTTAAAACCCCAGCGGTTCCGAGCGAACCCTCCTGTTCAGACCAGGTAAGTAAGCCCTAACGAGTCCTGAGGGTGGGCAGCACATCTTGGCGAATGAAGGTCTGCCCCGTGTAAGAAATCCCTGCAGTGACACAGGACACAAGATAGCCCTAGACCTACCGGTATGTAGGTTTAATGCTTATTCGTGGAGGTTCATTTGCTGACCACGTTTCGCCGTGCTTGTGTGACACAAGATGGGCGACGAAACCGCCCGGTACTTAGGCAGCAGCGCTTATGCACTTATTACAAAGTGAGGCTGGACAGTGGTTACATTTGACGCAAATCGGGCGTCACCTTCCAAATTAATGTGCCGATGCTTCCGGGATTAGGAGGAGCCGAGCAAAAGCTAGGAGTTGATACGGTATTGGCATGATAAAGACCTTCTGATCCGGTAACATACTTAGGGAGTTTTCACTCAGTTCTTAGGAATCGAGAGTCTATATCCACCACTGACCATCATGAGCCATTCTAGAAAGATCTTGAGGGGTTATGGCGCCCAAGCTTTATCACGTTTGCCTCCTGGCACAGACGCCCATGAGCTCGGCCAGGCCCTCTCACAAAGTATTAGACGTGAGCCGCCCGATATGTTGGATTTGCTGCGCAAGTACTTTCAAAACCCTGAAACGGAATTATCACACATATGGTATGACTCTTATGACCAAGCGCCAGGCTTTTGGAACAGTTAAAGCCTCGATCCTTCACTGAGCCACGTCTTCATAGGGAGCATGACCCATCAACTGGGATCATCCGTCAGGAGGCTGTCGGGCTGGTGCGCAAGTTTCATGACTTTTACCAGGCCTTTCCGGAGAATGAAAGGGTCGACCTCAAAGAATTCGTGCCTACTATTGAGGGCGTAATCGACCAAGTCAAACAGATTCATTTGAAACGCGAGGCAAAAACACAAAGTGGAATGACGGGCAGGACCAAGAGGTTTTTCCACAGATTTTGTGGAACTATCAACACCCACAAGTCTATGTTAGGTATTCTGCCAGAGGGAAACGAGTACATATCGATATTTACAGGAGTTCTGCATGTCGTTATACAAGTATGTCTAGTCATCAATCATACTGCCTGTTTGACAGTGGATTTGATCACTGAACCACAGCTATAGGCCAGCGACAATCACGAGAAGTTAGCCGAGGGGATCGGCGAAAGCCTCTCTATCATCGGAGAATGTATCGAAGATATACAAATCGATGCCAAACTCTTTCCGACTGAACCCATGCTTCGCTTGGTTTCTGAATTCTACGGGCAGATATTTATCTTCCTGTCGGAACTAATGGACTGGATCATGGCTAAGAAGCGCAAACGCATTCTCAAAAGCTTTAATGATGACCTCGTTGCAACCTTTCAAAAAGATCTAGATCGCATCGTGAAACGAGCTGACCGGATTCTCCGTCGGGCAGCGCAGAGCTCCAGGGCAGAGGGGCAATTTGTCCGGCACAAAATTGAAAGTATAGATGATCGAGTTGAAGACACCAGGCTCGGTTCAACAGGTCTCGCGCGACAGCTAGCTGAGAGGGAGTATTTCGAGGAGAGATTGCAACTTCAGGAAGCGCGAATCGAGGCATACCGACGAGAGGACCTGATTCGACAAGAACGACTTGGACTCAGTTTAAAACTGCTTCTACAAGAAAATTTACGCAGCGATCGAACGCCGCAGCTCTTGTTTGGCATCGCCGAAGCTCTTCCGGGCGAGAACCCTCGGTATCCCACCGCTTTTCTGGAGAACCCAGGAGGTAGGTCGATCGAAGCAATTAGCAAGGCTGATTTGTGCGGCTAATAATTACTTTCTCATCAAGTCAGGGAACTATTTGATGACATTGAGACTCGCTCTGCCTCCCTTGAAGACCATTTCTGTCGCGATCAAGTACGTCCACGATTGGAGAGCGACCAACCACTACCTTTCGAGCCGGATGTCATATTGAGAGTGAAGGAGTGGTCACAGGATACCGCGTCTTCTTTACTGTGGCTATCCGGCCCCTTTATTGAGGTCACCGACTCCAGCAACCCTCTGACGTTACTAGCTAGCCGTGTTATTGATCTGGCAGATGAGCACCACCTCAACGTGATATCATACTTCTGCCATATACGCCACACGAATGGCACAATTTCACGGGAGGAACAATCCCTAGTAGCTCTACTGTATGCATTGATACGACAACTCGTCGAACTACTCCCACCAAGATTCGACTCTGAGAGGGATTTATCCAAAGAACGCTTTTCTCGTTTGGGTGGGACAATCGCTTCATGGGAAGAATCTTTGGATGTGATGGAGGATATCTTGAGCCTTGTACCAGGAACTGCGGTTTTTTGTATCATCGATGGCCTGGATGTACTGGATCATCGGAGCATTCGACGACCGTTGACGCTTCTCCTAGGAAGAATCAGACAAAGTAGTCCCAAGTTAAAGGTCTTGTTCACGACCTCAGGAAGATGCTACTGTTTGGGACAGGAGATAAAGGCCCATGAGAACATAGTCATTGACAACTTCCGGGATGGATTGGCCACCTACGATTTAGCTCTCTAGACAGAATCTCGATGTTGACCCATAAGTACACTAGATTATCAGCATTTGAGAGCCATGAGGAGACTAGGCACTCTTTCGAGCTTCTTAAGAGTACACGCTTCGAAAATTTCCAATGATGACATCTGGCTATGTAACGATTTGACCATTATGGAGGCTACCTAGGTAACGTCATTACCTAGGTATTTGTAAACCATTGAGATGTCAGTGAAAGCGACAATCGATGCTCATTTTGACAGCTACTTCAAATTATATACGCGAGACAACTCCTCCACTCGCCGTATCTACACAACTACCGGTTGACCGGCGCCAGTCTCAAGCAACGCCAGCAGCAGAGACACCATTAGCCACAGGCGCTGTGATGAAGCCCTTCGCGAGTGCCTGCTGGATGCCCTGCATCCACACATTAGCCATCTTCACATAACCAGCGTCATTTGGATGCCGGTTATCAGCCAGGTCGTTAACAGTCGGCCCATCCGGACTCCTCATATCCACAAACACAAACTTGGCACCCTGACCGGTCAACTGAGCAGCAAGCGCATTATACTGGTTGTTCACATCGACCCGGCACGCCTCCTGTGCGGGCACCTTGTTAACGAGCACCGATGTCAAAATGACCGTCGACCCGGGGCTCTGGGCATATATGCTGCCAATAAGGGACGAGACGTTGGCACCCGCGTCGGGCACCGTCCCGCCTCGGTTGCAATTGTTGGTCCCTGCGTCGAGGAGGACGAGGTTCGGCAGGAATTTAGGCACGCTCACGTTGGACGAGTTGGCGATCTGGTTGATCACGAAGCCCGGGGTGGCCTCGACCTGCGGGTTGGTGAAGTTGCCGTTCTGGAACTCGCCCACGAAGTTGACCGTCTGCCCCGCAGCCACGAGTTGGTCCAGTAGGTTCTTGCGATAGCTGTCGCCCGTTGTTGACCCGGTCCCGAACGTCACTGACGCACCGAGGGGCATTATCCTCAGCGGCACAGCCGCGGCAGCAACTGGGGCTGGAGCGACCGGAGCCGGAGCGACTGGGGCCGGAGCGGGGGCTTGTCTTGCGGCCACGGCCCCGGCACCCTTGGACGAAAGTGCTGTCAACGGTGTGACAGTGTCCACCGTGCCGCCCGGGATGACCGTGATGCCACGGGGCAGCGCCGAGGCTACCGCGGCTGCTTGAGGAGCTCACAAGTCAGCGACTCTGTGCCTCCAATTTTGAACGGGGAGTGGAGCACATGTTCTGGCCTTACCGATGGAGAGGATGATGATGTCCCTTAGCATTTTGGTGACGATGTTCCTCAGCCTATTGTGAACATCTACCTCAGCTGCAAAATAAAGGAGAGCTTACGAGAATGAAAAGGACAGCACGATGCCTGACCTTCAATGGTTTGCGGAGTAGTGTAAGTGACACGAAACCCGGCTGACGATCCGCCGGGGGTTTCAAAATCTCGCCCGATCTTTCGCATGCGGCCGAACCCGTTTCACTCGGCGTGCATTGAGCTAAGATCAGACGCAAACTCTGTTGGTCTCCGGCGGAAATGGAGAGCATGGCCTTCAATTCTTTTTGCATCATTCTGTTCGCATGAGGGTATCGACAGGCGTGCCCAGCTGCGGCTCTTCCTCTCTCACGAGTGCTGCTTGCATTCCCGCCAAGAACATTGAAAAAGACCAGTGTGCTATTCAAATTTATAAGTGTTTTGTACGAGGACAGAAAATTGCCTCGATTTCTAACGGTCTCGCTTTGGTGACAATACGGCATCGAAAGGTCGCTCATCTCGTGTGATCGTTTACAGCGCGGTGAGCTTCTTTAAGGTTCGGTAAGCAATGTCCTGGATTGCAACGTTGTCCCAAAGGCCGAGATCACCTTGAACGATTTATTACCAGGCACAGTGTTCCGATTCGAAATCGAGCTTTGGCCCGTATCTCCATCCCATCTAACAAGCTCTGTTGGACGAGATGCCGAGACCGAGTATCCACCCGAAACCGCTTCGTTCATGCACCCCACAGCGTCGCTTCGTAGCCTCTCCGTATATGGAACCTCGTTATCCCTATTTTGAGGTGCCGGACGTGCAACAAATCAGAAATTCACATCAGTATTGCTACACCGAAAGGTCACATCAAATCAGTCTGGTCATGTAGGTCACGCTGTGGTAGCATCTCACTGCATCTCGGCCTTGTGCCAATGGCGTTATTTACAGTGAGTTTAGATGTGTCAGTCAGCAACGGGAGGTGACAATACTGCGATTGGATTACCGGGTTGGTTTCGTTTCTAATCCCCATACATATTAAACAGTGTGGTGCCTTCATACAGTGGTAAACGGATGTGACATATCGGGCAATACACGCCAGCTGAGATTATTCTCATTAGCATCATACGAATGAGACTTTCACATCGTCTTATCAACAAGAAATTCTACTGCGCTCGCCGCTCACATTGACTCGCAAATACCACAGCTTGAGGCGTAGACAGTGAGCCAATTTACAATGTCAGCTCTATGCAGCAAGTAGACTACACTCCGACACTGTTTTCAGGGGGTTTGGAACTATTCAAATGGTTCAAGTGTCTTTCTTAAGCCAAAACAGTGGTGAGAGCCCGAGGAGAATGATGCAGAATGTCTTGTCTAGATAAATACAATATATTTCCGTATAGAAAGCGTCTCATAGTGACTTGATGATCCGCTTCTAGCTATCCCCAGCCTTTACAAATTATCAAAGAGTGGGCTGCGGCCGAGAACTCGCGATTCTTTACACGTCGAAAAAGTTTCCCGACATCGTCTCCTTCCTTCTGCTCCATTGGTGACTCTCTGAAGTCTGACCTGGAGCCCGATTCTTCTCCTCCCAGAGCCTCTTAGTTAGTGTCTTGTACAAGAACACCCCGTCACCATTGTATCTGATGTTGTGATCCGAGTCGCTGAAGAACACAGAGTCGAACTTCTCTGGGCTGACACCCTGGCCCATCAGGTAGTTGGTCAGAACAGCAGTATTCTGGAAGTGCACATTGTCGTCGCCAACGCCATGGGTGATTTGGAAACCCCCAACGATGTTCTTGAAGCCCTCCGTCTTGCGCACCGCAGAGGCATTGTATCCAGCCGCGTTGAGCTCAGGCGTCTTCATGTACCGCTCCGTGTACATGGAATCGTAGAACCGCCAGTCCGTGACCGGCGCCGTGATCAGCCCCAGCGAGAACACCCCGCTGTCGAGCTCGACAACCTTGGACGTCAGGTACCCGCCGTATGACCACCCCCAGTGGGCGATGTGGTCCGCGTCGGCCGAGGGGAGCTGCTGCACGATCTGCTGCGCCGCCCACACCTGGTCCTGCGCCTCGAGGTCGCCCAGGTGTCCAGTCACCTGCGCCCTGAACGCGCGGCCCTTGTACCCTGTGCCACGGTTGTCGACCACCCACTGGATGTACTCAAGTTCGGGGTCAGAGGACACGTATGCGTTCCAGTTGAGGGATTTCCACGCCTTGTTGACATTCTGCGCTCCGGGGCCGCCGTAGGGGTTGAAGAGCACCGGGTACTTCTTGGCTGGGTCGTAGTTGGCCGGCAGGCGCTGCAGGACGTTCAACTTGCTGCCATCCGGGTGGTCGAGCTCGAGCCATGTGATCGACGGCAGGCGGTACTCGTTGATGCGGGCGATGAAGGCCGCGTTGTCCTCAAGCGTGCGCAGGGGTGTGGTGCTGTTGATGCTGTAAAGCTCCTGATAGGGAACGTCGGGCCCCTGGTAGGAGAGCTGGTAGTACGAGCCTCCCGTGGAGAAGGAGGCAGACCAGTAGCCGGGGATGGTATCATCCACGAGCGCTCGCTTAGCGCCGGTGCGGTAGTTCACTACGTAAAGGTGCGACTCAGTTGAGTGCCGCTCGGTAGAAGTGTAGTACACGAGGCCACGGGCGCTGTCGATCTTGAGGATGGACCGGACCTCCCATTCACCCGATGTGAGTGCGACCGGGGATCCTCCACTGACGGGGAAGAGGTAGATGTGAGCCCAGCCGGACTCGTCAGAGAGGTCGAGGTAGTAGCTGGCGTCGGTAGGGACCGTGCCGTTGGTGCTACTATTCCCACCCAAGGCTCCGATGTACTGGATGGCAAGGTTGTTATCAAGCCAGCCCGTAGTCTCGGTGCGCTCTCGCACCACAGAGCTGGTTGCATCCCCGGCGTTCACGTTGACTACTTTCTCCGCGTCCTGGACGCGGTTATAAGCACGGAAGAGGACATTGGAGCTGTCCTCGGTGACCCAGGCGACCTCGCCAATGATAAGATCGTCAGCGTCGAACGCGTCGATTGGGACGTTCGTGACTGTCGAAGAGTCGACATCCAACAAGTTGAACGAGACCGTTGGGTTCTTGGTGCCAACCTTGGGGTAACGGATTTCGAGCTCCCGTGGGTAGGAGGGACCGTATTCGGTGTTTGCGGCATAGTAGGGGACTGTGAAAGTGCCAACACCGGTCTCGTTGAAGCTCAGGAACGCAATTTTGGTTCCGTCAGGGCTCCACCAGAGGGAGTATCGGTCTCCCAGGATCTCCTCTTCGTACACCCAGTCCGGCACGGCGTTGAACGTGTCGGGGTCTCCATCGTTGGTTATCCTCGTGACCTCGCCGTCTGCCCAGATGTAGAGATCGTTCCCACGGACAAAAGCGACCCTATCACCAGTTGGGCTCCACTCGGCGTACTGAATATCGCCAACCTGGTCCTCGACAAGCGGAGTCAGAGCGCCACTCGCGACATCGAGGATGGAATAGTCGGCGAAGTATGAATGACGGTACTGCTTTGTGTAGTTTGTGGCCCAGAGGACCCTGCTCGAGTCAGTGCTGATCCAGTAGTCGTAGCTATCGGCCGGTACTTGGTCCGCAGACACAAAGGTTGAGTTTTCCCCGGTCACCGCATTCGAAATAATAAGTGCACCATCGCTACCAGAGAATATGTAGCTCCCATCGGACTCGCTATCCACCCAGGCGAGAGATACGGACCGGGGGGAGTTCCGGGTGCTTGGCACAGTCTCGTTGAATGCGAGGAGACGGGTGCCGTTGGTCTTGGGGAAGCCAGTGCCGCGGGGCGGGCTGATTGCTTGGACAGTCAGGACCGGCAAGACCAGAGAGAGGAGAGTGAAGCCCTTCATGGCGGCTGAAACGAAGGACCAGCACGATGAGGTTGAGAAGAGAACCGTCAGCCCAACAACTCAGCATTTTCACGACTGACGACGACATCTTGCAATTTATATGTGTTCGGTTATGGGGGCCTACAGCCGATGCTACGTTCTCCAACCAGTCACGTACCATCTGCGGGACGGATGGGTGCAGTCTGCAGGTTATCACCGCCATTGGATATGCACGCAACCTCTTGGCCCACGCGAAGACTAACACCGAGCTCCCAGCGGCGGACAAATCACGTTGTTGCGCGCACATGTGGATTGCCTGACGGCAGCTAAAGTTGCAAGATTGGTAAGATAGCCTCTTGTCTCGAAGCGGAAGCTGGTTACTTCTCCGCTCGACTTGGCGACTTGGCCAGCGGGCCTATGCCCAGGTGGTTGATTCAACTCATTTATCGCGCCTTGTCCCTGCATGCTGACCCATATTTCGTCCGTATGGCGCGACGTCGCGTTCGTACTGGGCCCGCCGGCCTATAACTGACAGTGCGACAAAACACACAAACTTTGCCCGGCATGTGTCATTTCATTCTTTCACGTCGAATCTACCTCAATTTGAACCCTATTTCTGGACATTGCATCTTACTAGTATGTGCAAGTCGCACGATTCAAGTAAATTTACTCTTCGTTGGGGCAGCTGTTAGGCTTAATTTGCTTCCGCAGTCGTGTACCCGGGAGCCTCAGGCTGAGGTGTTCCGACTGCCCCTCGACAGCGGATGGCAGCGAATGGGGCCAGCGTTGCACTGAACTTGATGCGTGCTCAAAGAGGAAAATTGCACTCGTGGTAACCACCCGGCTGGGGTATTGCCACTGCTGCTTGATTTCCCGGGGTCTGATCCCAGGCAGAGACACTGTAGTTATTGGTAATGCCGGCTAATTATACAGTATTAATCCTTACTGGGACGAACAACAGCCATGATCCAGCCCCACGAGGAGGTTCGCTGACAAAAATACAGTACCCTGTTACTCTAGTACCCCTACAGAGAAGAAAGGCCGGCAGCTCGAGAAGCACAGCAGCTTTAACAGAGTGCAAGTGCGCTGAGCAGCTGCCTATGGGCATACCATTTTTTCCGGTGAATAGCGAACTTGACTATTTTCGTATCCCTCTACACTGAAGCGTCGCTACCTGTTCCGCTGCACAATGATTGTTGTTCCGTGTCATTCCATCTTAGTCTCGTAACTCGAGGGCTGAAAATAGTCTCCATGTACCATAGGTAGTGAAGTGAGACTGAGACTAACAAGACTGGTGTGGTTCACCAAAGCAGCGATACGTCCTCCTTAGTCGTCTCATTCGTCGATACCAACCCCATGTCCCGTTGCCTCCAACACAGTCTGGATCTGCTCAATCCCGAGACTCTCATTCTGCTGCGTGGCTAAAAGGATAGCACTCTTGACGGTGTTCTTGATCTGCCTCCCGTTGAGAGGCAGCTGCGCCAGGCGTGCAAATGTCTCCTCCGTGAGGCAACTGGCCTCCCCCGCCTGCGTCATGAACTGCCGCCAAATGTGCTCCTTCGCTTGGGGTTGGAGGTCGGGGTAGTTCAGTGTCAGATGGATTCTGCTCTGGAAGGCACGGTCGATGCTCTCGGCGCGGTTGGTGGTCATGAACAGTATTCCTCGATAATATTCAAGAACACTGTGGTCAAAGTCAGCACCTGTTACTTCCGATCTCGTCGAAGTATCGGATGTGGAGCCAAGTCACTTGAAGAGGTTTGGGGATGCGGGCCTGTGAGTGATGCTTACCGAAGGAAGACCGCAACAATTTCGTTGTGTTCAAGGTTGTTCATGGACCGTTCTTGCAGGAAGACGTCGCACTCATCGAAAAGAAGGACGGCGTTCCACTTTTCGGTCAGTCGGAGAATTTCGCCCAGATGAAACTCGACGTCGTTCGCTTTCTGGCCAAGTTCTCCGGCACTCAACATGTACAGCGGTCTTCGGACCTTATCGGCCACCGCCTCGGCTGTCAACGTTTTGCCTGTGCCGGCAGTGCCCACCAGAAGCATAATAAGACCTAACCCTTTTCCTTCTATGATGTCGTCAAAGCTGTTCTTGTTGGAGGCTTGGCCCTCTACGAATGACAGGATCAGATCTTTGTAGCCGTTGGGAAGCATCAGGCTCGGGAACGCCTTGTCGTTCCACACGATCTCCCTGACGCTGTCTACATCGAATTCTCCCCACTTTTTGAGCTTCAGTGAGTACCCCCGCACGCGAGTGTTGCACAGCATAAGTTCTGCTTCCGTGAGGTCGGCATCTGGAGGATAGAAGGTGAGTTGAGAGTTTGTCACACAGGTGAGGACCACCATTGACAATCGGACGGCGAAAGAACCGAGAAAGAAAAGGTTAGGTCAGTCACTTACCAGTCTCCTTCTGCTCCTCCGGCGTGATGAACTCATATTTCACCTGCCAATGTTCGAGCGGTTTTCGATACATTGGCCCCCTATGCGACCCGTGCGACGCCGGCGTGGACGTCGTCATACGTCTCGCGGCCGGTGGCGGTGGCAACATGTTTCTGCCGCTTCCATCCCGACTCTCGTAGGGCATATGAGCTCCGTCTTCAACGTCTATCTCTGGAGCGGCAAGCTTTGTTCCAAGAGGTTCAAAGATTGACCGTTGGCTAGGGCCCCAGTTGGAGTCAATATAGGACGCTGCGTCCACCACTATACGGCCATCGACCTAAACAATCCAAATTTAGCCGTAAAGATCGATTCCCCAAGCTCATTGATGGAAACAATGGGATATCACCTACCTGCCGGTCCACATCCTGAGGGTCCTGCCCATGAAGCCGGGCTTTGAACCTGAAACTACCCTGATAGGCCGCATAGTGGTAGCCACGGAGCTCCACAAATCGTCGACCGCGGGCTATAGCGCTTGCCTCCGACTCTTCTCTTGACGGGTAAAATTTAGCAGGCATCACGTTGAGCTGTGTGATCGCCATGGTCCCGTTGAACTGGCCGATGGCCATCCTTGATTTTGTGTAGGCGAATTGCCTTCCTTCCCAGTCCACGAACGTGGCCGCCATGTCGAAGAACTTGAAGCCCTCTTCACGATTGTAAGCGTAATTGCTGACGATGAAGAAGCGGTCTGGCTGGCCATCCTGGACGGTCACAACACGAGTACCGGGCTCAAAGATTGCCCAGAGCAAGGGATACGTGATTACACCGTGAGCGACGAGGTCGGCGATCTCGGCCCTGGTATCCTTGAGCTCGCTGTGTAGCACATCGTACAAGAGCTGTGTGTAGCTCGCGGACTCCGGGTCTTCGCTCTTCTGGCGATCGAATATCTGCTGGAACTTTGCCCACCGGTGGTGGAAAGGGTGGAAAGGGGCCGTGAAGACGAGTTTCTTCAGGGATGGTGTGATGCCTTGGTAGCCGTCAAATACTTCGCACAGGGTCCTCTTCAGCGACTGGTTCCGAACAACCACGGAGTCCAGCACAAGTGCCTTGCCATCTCCATGGTTCCTGCGCATGCGAACGACGAGGGCTTTCTGTTTGCTCTGCTCTCCTTGCTCGATTTCCGCCCGCAGGTCGACAGGGTATTCCTCCACCCAGTTCTTGCAACATTCACACTTGGGGGGCCCTTCGTAGAGAGTCTGGATCGCGCACTCTGATCCACCCTCTTCGCTCACATTTTCAAAGGAATCTCGGTCCGTAGATGTCGAGGGGGACTCCATGCTGAAGTCCGAGTCTGAATCGGAGTCTGCGGTCGCGGTGGGCCGATGTATTGAGCATGCTGGTTCTTCAGCCATCCCGATTGTGCCTTCGGTTGATTCAGGGGCCGTCTTGGTGTTCTGCTTCGGGTACCTTGTATGGTGCTGAGTCGACGTGTTCTTCGGTGTTGCCACTGATGCCAAGATGCGCATGCAATAAATCCAGGTTATGGGACAGGAATCCGATTGCCAGGAGGCTGGTTTCCTAGTGGGTTTATATAACCATGATAATGCCTTTTTAAAACGAGGCTCCAAGACTCTGCTGTGCCTCAGCACGGCATCTCCCCTCAGTGCTGCCTAAACTACCTAGGTACTTAGTACTTGGATAGCCAAAAGAATGTGCACAATGCATGTACATGTGTTACCTGTATCACCTGCACCAACGTTGCTGCTGCCTTGAGCTTCCAAGTTTGCCCATCAAATGTCGTTTGCCCGACCAATAATGAAATGCTTTACCCTAAGGTAACGTTAGGCATTACACAAATAACCGCATGTGACAACACGGCTTGTTGTACTTGCTGGATTTCAGGTTGCGTGGACTGGAAACTGTGTCTTATTTCGTTTGTTTTCCTCAGGAATTTCATTGGACCATTACGTCGACGATTCTCATGACCCAGGGTCTACATCATGGCTCCTTGATGGACGATGGAATATCTGAAGTTCGTTTTCTTCTTTTGCGTCTAAGCACTCCATTCTTTATGCCTGTGAAGATCCAGTAGAACCGTCGCCCCTGAAAATTCGTAGACTGAGGAAGGCCCTGTGTCCAAATCTCACAGAAACAGTACCTGTAGACAACTTATTCTCACCAGAACTCAACCGGTGTGCACACCACACATCCAAAGCTCGAATAGTCTGTTTACTGCCAAAATAGCTGTATTTCCTTTCTTGAAGCGGAAAGGACTGCATATAGAAGCTGCTTACTAGACAATCGCATCGCCACGGCCGCATACTCCTCGAAATGCAGAAGGCTACCGGCGCTGGCCACGGCAGCCGCCGGTACTGTCCCGGCAGCAAAGCCCAGAGACGTGGTGGCTCTGGCCCCAGACTTCATGTTGGACGCCGCCAGTCGGCTCGGCAAGGATGTCTACTTCAGGTCCCCGCTCTCCTTCGTGGGTCATCTCAAGGAACTGCCAGTACTGGACAAGCTGCGTCAGAGTCACGACCGGTCCCAAGGCGGGCAGCGGGAGGGTGGCATCCTCGGCCGCGGGTCGCCCGTGTCGGAACCAGGCGCTGAGGTCGGCGAGGCTCTGAGGGACCTCCGGCAACACCGCGGCGATTTGCGGCATCTTCGCGATCAATGCGTCCCAATAGCCTGGCAGCCCGTCCACCGTCTTCAGGATCCATTCTCTGTGCTGCCCCTCGGCTAGCGGCTGTATCATGTGGTCCAGATGCTCTTTGGGGAAGTTCTTGCCGACACGGGAATGTGGTCCGAAGACCAAGATTGTCGACTCGCAGGAGCCATTGTAGAGTCGTTCGAGTTTTGGGTACGTGCTACTGAACATTGTAGCCTCGCGCGTGCAAGCCAGACTGTTTCAGAACAGAGGTGCTATTCATTGGATCCAAACAGCGGTGGAAGCAGAGAGGGAAAGATATAGGCCGGCACGGGAGAAGGTGTCCAAGCAGCATATGATACTATGGGCGGGCATGGACACCACTCAAACAAACGACCGGAGTTGATCACCTGTCCAGACGTGGCTGCTACAACTCTCCATCGATATACGGACTTTATTCCGCCAAGGATCGTGGCATAAGTTTTACTCTACGGACTTTGCCGCTGGACTTCGATTAGCAGGCAGACTTAACAAAGCATGGGCGGGTCCATGGGGGTCCCGGACTCGGAATACGAAGTCCGCACAAGTCCGCCTTAGCATGTATACCCAGCCCGTTAGCATCCACACAGGTCTTGATCAGCATTGCAGACTTAGACGTCTATTGACAGGACAGTCCTCCACTGATGATTGTGGATCCACATGTCTCCAGCACCTAGGTAGGCTGTTGCTACCAGGAGCAGTTGGTATTGGTTATGCGAGAAACCTCGGTTTCTGCCTGTGCAATTCATGCCCAGTTGGCCAACTTGGTTCATATTCTACAATCATCACAATATAGCAATTCTGGGAGAGGGGAACTAATACGACTATACACGGTAGTGGCTAGGTATCTATCCTGAGCTTTATATTTGGACTCCATCACTAGTGTGTGTTACTCCTCGTCGCTACAAGGATCCACAGAGAGACGCGAACAAGAGCGAGCTTCAAGCAATGCGGCTGCAGATTAGTAGGTAACACCATTGACCTTGGCGCCTCCCTCACCCGCCAGATACTTTTGTCTCGTTGGAATCTGTCAGTCGGATCCCTTATGCGGGCTCGTACTCCGCCAGGGCGCCCGGGTACTTTGTTGCATCTGTGTGAGACACGAGATGCTTTCATTTCTCGAAAGCCAGATTCCAACCGCAGTCCCTAGGGCTGACCATCTGAATTCGCAGCACACCTCCAAAGACAGCTCAACCAACTTGGCCGAGAGAATGATGTCGAGTAGGAATAGACAACCCCTCGGATAGTCGAGGCTGCGTCTCCCGATATGACGTTCGCCTGCTTGGGAGGTCCCACACTGGCATTGCTTACACCGGGTTCAGACTCAAGCTCGAATATAAAGGATACCATCACTTCCCCCTCATCCGACCGTACAACTCGGGTCGTGCTACAACTACTGCCAGTGCCACAATCACAGACGACATACGTGGCGACCAGGACCAAATTTTCATTGTCCACCCTGTCCTCCCCTTCATCCACTGGAGGCGCTGCCTCTCATGGGCATCCCAGAAAGGATCCAGGACCGGCCCGTGCGTGCCTCCGTTCGGCCATGCGAACCATGGCAGCGGCGATGTCGGCCTCCAGCACGCGCTCCTGCGACCAGCTGTACGCCGAGACGTGCGTCTTGCCCCAGTCCTTCACGGCGAGGTGCAGCGACGACATGGCCATCGAGTATATCCAGTCCTGGCTGCTCCTGAGCCACTTTGAGCTCCCCCGGGTGCGTGAGAACCAGGCCGTGCTCACTGCAGGCCGGCGCTGCCGCTTTGTGCTGATGGCGCGTCTGTTCGAGATGGATCGAGATGCGGCACCCGGTGCCGCGGAGACCATGTGCCCCTGTCCGGATGTCGAGGAGCGCAGGAGGACGTTTTGGGTGGCTTTTTGCCCTGACCGCCTTCTCTGCTCGCGTAACCAGTACCCTTTGACTTTTCAAGAGGTCATGGTAAGTATACCGCAACTCAATGGACCTCTACAGAAGAAAGATACGACGCCGTACTTAGTTTGAGATTTCTCATTGCTAGATCTGCACGCGGCTGCCCGCGCCCGAGGCCAACTTTCACAACAACCAGCCCGTCCGTGTCGGCTTCCTGTCCGATACTATCATGTTTTCAACGCCTCCATCACCCCTTTCACCCTTGGCGGAGTGCGTGGTGATGGTGACGATCCACGGGTGGCGCATGATATACCGTGGCTCCGGTTCCACGACAACATGTCACGCAACCCAGACCCCGCATGGCTGTAGCGCGGACACAAACATGGACTGTTCGTGCGAGGACTCAAGAAAGGCCAGAGAATGTGGACGCCATGGCTTCTGGTCCCGACAGAAGTGGCTGGCGTCGACCATCGAGAAGCGCTTGCAGCTGCTGGGTATGCACAACACCCGAGTCTCGTCAGCCGTGCACGACGCCGGCGGCGACCCGATGCTTCTCTCTGCTCGGATGCTCGCCCACGGCGCCGTCATCAGGCTCGGTCATGTGACGAGGCTGAGGGCGGCAGCGGCCGAGCCGCCGGCTGGACCATCAAGCACCGCCGAGCAGCTCGACTCTGCCGCCAATTTTGACTACGATGCTTCCACACCAGCCGCCGAAATAGTTTCTCCTGGCCAGGCAGATGCCGTCGTTTGGCTACTTCAAAGTGCACCCTTATCTGCCCGACATGCTCGGGTGCGCGGCCACCTATCTAATGCCTACGAGAGGTGGAAACGCGTCCCTCTGTCGGGCTGTTGGTGGTGGTGCTCAGAAGCTCTTTCAGGTTATAAGAGACATACCGGGTATGAACAGTCTAGCGCGGGATTATTTGCAGTCGAGCGTCAATGACGAGCAGATGTGTAGGCAGCAAGTCGGCAGACAAGAGTTCATGGGAGAGGCCTTACGACAGCCTCTGTTGATTTGAGATAATAACCAAGCTGATTGTAGGGCTATCCTCGCAAGGAGTTGGTGTGGGTGTCCTCGGTGGATATATTGAAAACGCATCTTCTTCGGCTTGGCGGCGCTCACGGTTGAAAGCATAATCGTTCAATGTTGATAAGAATGAAGCGTTTTTTGATTTTGTGTCCTGAAGTTGTACTCCAGCTTCTTATTGTCCTTTCTTGGGGACCTCGGGACCAGGTATAGTCGTAAATCCGGGATCAGATTTAGAAACAGAATGGCGTGATCGAAGATCCTCTTTAATCACCAAATACTCCACAGAAGAATGGGGTGTCTCCCACACTCGAGACTTTAGGACGGGATTCTTGTTGCATCCTGCGGGTGGCAATGCACCGCCCAGGCGCTGTCAATATATTTGTTTCGCTGTAAAGTCCGCATTGATAAAGTCGCCACGCGTAGTACCAAATTATTTGCCCGCAAGGCTATCGTACTCGGTCGTGTATCGCGAATAATTGCTTGCAACGTATCTTGAAGTTCTAACTGTGTGTTCGGAAGAGCTCTGATACGAGTGTGTTTGTGACTGCTTCAGTTGTTTAAGCACTTGAGTATTAAATCCCCGCGCTATACTCTGAAATTACAATGCGGCAGACGGCTCCCGCATCTGACAGCTGTACATAGTACCTGCCAACTTTTGCGGTGCTTACAAGACAAAACCCGGCCCCCAATTTCCGGGTCGGGTCCGACGGCTTTTTATGTTGAGGAGGGGTGGGGCTCGATCGAGGTGGGTCAATCGAGCTCGTGAATACGTTAGAGCTGGTGTAGAGCACCTGTGGGCCTGCACATTTGCACCACATAGTGCCAGTACTAGTACACATGATGGGTCCCTCACACGGTGAAGCGGATCTGCACATGAGTAAGTAAATGCATAGTAGCGTGTATACGCTGCTCAGGAAGTGGGCGGGTGGAGACAGGCTGCGATTCATAGTTGTAGTCTGAGAAGACATAGTCTGTAAGGTTTATGGACATTATAAATGAACTACGTGTGGGGGTCTCGCCTAGATTGGATCTAGAAATTAATTGTGACGTACACCATCTTTGAAGTACCATGAGTGGGTAGGTATGTATTGTGTAGAGTTGATGTCTGCATAGTACGACAAGTTCAAATTGCAGGTGTGATGCACAGTGGATATGTTTATCTGATGGTTGTCAGTTTACACATACAACTAAGAAGACTGGTCTAGAACAACGCCGGTTGCCTTGGCCAGTGTTAATTGATAATTTCCTAGTCGCGCTGGTGGCGCGGTTCCCTTGACTGACGAGACGAGCAATTGCCCACATCATGTGCAGCAAACTCGCAAGCAGACGTGGCAGACCTCGGCAGCCCGGAGTCGGCGCGGACATGGGAGGAGGAGGGAAATAAATGGGTCCATCTCACATACGCTGGAAAAAAACACCTAACCCTCGCACATGTGGCAGGCCCCCCACCCTGGCCCACCCGCAGACGTGAAATCCCAGCAGCCCAGGAGCTGTCAGTCAGGCCGGTTCCCACCACCAGCTGGGGCTGCCTGCAGGGGAGGGGGGCGTGCCAGCGCGCTGGGGCAGTGGGGCAGCAGGGGTCAATCTCAGGCGGGTACAGACGGCTGCAGGCTGAGGTACATACATTGATACACAGTAGTAGGTGTGCCGCGAAAAAAAATCTTGGAAGTGGGCCCGGCGGCTGCCACGGTACGGGGTGTTCTAGGCCCCATTGCTCGAGACGATGCGGGCCCCGTGTGCCACAGCTCAGATCGGGAAAAGCAGTATGGTATCTCGCCCACAGGGCCACACTAGTGGGATACATGGGTCCTCTGCTGGGGCCCAGCTGGGCAGCTGGGGCGGCATGCTGATGATCGATTCGCCCGCGGGGAATTTCTCCCCATCTGTGGCCCATCTGTGGGGGCTGGGCTGAGACTAGACTTAGTGTAGAGAGAGGAGAGAGGGAAAGAAAGAGTCGAGAACAAATGGGATTGTTGACACTTCTCCCTCACTCCTCAAATCATGTCTTGTCTGTCCCACGTTCCCCCGTCCCCCGTGCTCCCACCCCCCCCCTGCGGCTTGCTGCTGACGATTTGACGAGCCGACTCATTATCCCCGGTTTTCCTCCGCCCGAACAACGAGCCACCCGCAACCGAGCCTTTTGGTTTCTCCTATTCACCACCCACGGACAGTTTACGGTCTGACTTGCACCCCCCCCTTTAGCCACCAGCACCAGGCTGAGGGCTACCCACACAGATGCGTCCCGAGGCGGCGCGAGAGCGCGACCTACACAGGCAAGATCCTTCTTAACGCCTGTCTTTCTCACCCCTTTTGTCTCTTCGTGTCTCTGTTTCGCTCTCTCCCATGCTCTCACTCACTCTGTCACTTACTCACTCACTCACTCTCACTGTTGCTCTCTCTCTCTCTCTCATATACACATACACAAACTCTCTCTCTCATGTACACGCATATACACACACTCTCTCATTCACTTACACACCCACACTCTAACCCACTCTGACTGCCCCTGCCACGGCACCCCAACTAACACTTGCTCGCGCAAAAGGTATTACAAGCCGTGGAAGGATGCACAAAACTCGCTGGTGGACATCCAGGAGGATGCCCGGGGCGAGAACGCATGGGGCCTCACGTACGAGGGCTACAAGCCCAAGGCATCGGGCGACAAGGCCCTGACGGCCTTTGCACAGCTGGCCGCCCTGCGGCTTGACGTCCGCCGCTCCATGGTCTCGCTCATCGACAGCACCCAGCAGTACATCCTCGCCGAGGCAACCCGCACCCTCTCGCTGCTGTCGGAGCGCCGCTACACGCCCGGGGACGAGGTGTGGCTGGGCAACACCATCATCAAGAGGGCCGACGCCGTCTGCCCGCACACCTTCAAGTCGAGGTACACGGCCACCGACGGCGACGGCCGCACCTACACCACCGAGGCGCTCGTGGTGCCCGACATGCGCGAGGACGACCGCTTCAAGGACCGGGAGTACGTCGTCCGCAAGCCGGGGGTGCTGTTCTACGCCGGGGTCCCCATCAAGACCAAGGCGGGCCACAGGATCGGCGTCTATGCCGTGTCGAACGAGGCGCCGCGGTTCGGGCTGAGCGTGGACGAGCTCATCTTCATGGAGGACGTCGCCGCCACGATCATGGAGCACCTCGAGCTCGCCAAGGACCGCGACGCGATGATGAACGGGTCGAGGATGGTAAGGGGCCTCGCTGACTTTATAGAGGGCATCCCGGTGGGCGGGGGGGACGAGCCCGAGGTCGTGCTCACCTCCACGTCGACCATGCCCATCAGCACCTCCATGGAGGACCAGAAGGCGTCGCCGGTCATATCCGCCGTCATGCGCAAGCAGACCCAGAACGCCAAGAAGATGCTGGAGGACCTGGACGAGATCACCACCACCTCGAGCCTCAAAGACGACAAGCCCGCCGAGCCCTGCTCGCCGAGGGAACCAAGCAAGCCCTCGGCCAAGAGCAGCAGCAGCAGCAGCAGCAGCAGCGACACCGACCCGAACCGGATCCTCCAGCGGGCGACGCACATCATCCGCAAGTCGACCAACGCCGACGGCGTCGTCTTCTTCAACACGTCGTCCCGCGCCTTCCAGGGGCTGGGCCGGCTGCCGGCGCCCGCGCCCGCGGACCACTGCGACGCCTCGTCGGGGATCACGTCGGGCAGCGACCGGCAGAGCGACAACTCGGCGGCGGCGCAGCCGCCCACGCGGCGGCCGCGCAACCGGCGCGTGGACTCGGGCGAGTCGCAGGACGACCTGCGGGGGGGCAGGCAGCGGCGGCCCTCGCCGGCGTGCGAGGTGATGGGGCTGTCGGTGTCGCAGCACGCCCAGCAGCAGTACCAGTACGGGCGGCTCGCGGCCGGGGACTTCCAGTTCCCCGAGGACAGCATGGAGCGGTACTTCAAGGCGTTCCCGCACGGCAAGTTCTTCAGCTTCACGGACACGGGCAGCGGCATCAGCTCGGGCGACGAGCTGTCGGCCGAGGACAGGCCGCAGCCGGGGGCGGGAGCGGGGGCGGTCGAGGCCGGGGGCGGCGGGGCGGACGGTTCAAGTTCGGCGGCGGCGCGCGGCGACAAGTCCGGGGGAGGAGGAGGGGGAGGCGGAGGGGGAGGCGGAGGCGGAGGGGCAGGGCGCAACAAGAGGGAGCGGTTCATCCCCAGCGAGCTGCTCAAGGTGCTGCCGGGGATCCGGTCGCTCATCTTCCTGCCGCTGTGGGACTTTACCGAGGGGAAATACCTGGCGGGCGGCTTCATCTGGACGTCGACGGCGGGCCGGCTGATGAACCCGGACAACGAGCTGCCGTACCTCAAGGCGTTTGGGAACAGCATCATGAGCGAGATATCACGGGCCAGGGCGCAGAAGAGCGACCTGGCCAAGACGACGTTCATTGCGTCGATCAGCCACGAGCTCAGGTGAGAAGGGGGGCCATCATATCATCCCTAAGGTATAATTATTGGGAAGGACAAGAACAAGCCGGGCTGATATGAGACAACATATATAGGTCCCCCCTGCACGGCATACTCGGGTCGGTGGAGTTCCTGCACGAGACGGCCGTGTCGGGCTACCAGGCCGGGCTCTTCACGTCGATCGAGACGTGCGGCAAGACGCTGCTGGACACGATCGACCACGTGCTGGACTACGCAAAGATCAACAAGCTGCGCAAGGGCAACTCGACGCGCAAGCAGCGGGGCCACCGCCCGAGCAGGTCGAGCCACCGGCGCGACACGGTGGGCAGCATCGTGGGGCTGACGGCCGAGTTCGACCTGGCCGCGCTGGTGGAGGAGGTCGTCGACGCCGTGACGGCGGGCCACGCGTTCCGGAGGACGCACCAGGGGACGCTGCACGACCACGCGGCGTCGGGGGGCGGGGGGCTGGCCATCACTGCTTCCTCTGCTTGTTCTTCTTCTTCATCTTCTTCTTCCTCCACCCTCACCACCACCACCACAGCCACACGCGAGATAGACCCGGTGGTGATCCTCGACATCAAGCCCCGGCACAGCTGGCTCGTGCGGACACAACCCGGGGCCCTGCGGCGCATCGTCATGAACCTGCTGGGCAACGCGCTCAAGTACACCGAGGCCGGGTTCGTCGGGGTGTCGCTGGCGGTGGAGGGCGAGGCCGACTCGCACGCGCGGGTGCGGCTGCGCTTCGCCGACTCGGGCAAGGGCATGTCGCTCGAGTTCCAGCGCACGCGGCTCTTCTCTCCGTTCTCGCAGGTAAGGTCTTTGAATTAGTTATCTTGGTATACATCATCGATTATATGTCACTAATGGTTGTTTCTAGGAGGACCCCTTCGCCTCGGGGACGGGGCTGGGGCTCAGCATCGTGCGGCAGATCGTCGACGCGCTGGACGGGAGTATTTCTGTGAGCAGCACGCAGGACCACGGCACCGAGGTCGACGTCGTCCTCACCCTGCCTGTGCCGGTGCCGGGGCCGGGCGACAGCAGCAACGGCAGCGGCAATAACAAGGCCCCTGCCCCTGGCCATGGCGAGCCCTTCGACACGGCGTTCGCGAGGGGCGCGCGCATGTGCATCGTCGACCCGTGCGGCCTCGCGGCCGAGGCGGGTGCCGAGCCGCGCGGGTCCGGGCTCCGGGCGCTGGACCTCCTCGAGGACACGCTGCGCAGCAACTCGGAGGAGTGGTTCGGCATGCAGGTCGAGACGCTGGGGGGGCACGAGGGGGAGGAGGAGCCCGACGACAATCCCGGCGGGCCCCCTGAGTGCGACTACATGCTCTTCCCCCTCCCGCCGGCCTCGGCAGACGCTCTCCTGAGGTGGTATAATAACAAGGACAGCAATAACAACAACAACAGCAGCAACAGCACGGGCCCGGCCAACGTCATCGTCCTCTGCAGCAACACGGCCCAGGCGTCCGAGTTCCGCGCCGCCGTCGCCGCGCCCCTGCTGCGCCGCGGCATCCACGCCGTGCCCGTGACGCAGCCGCTGGGGCCGCGCAAGTTCGCCAGCGTGATGCACAAGTTCAGCGCGGGGGGCGACGGGGCCGGGGCCGGGCTGCAGAAACACCAGAACCAGAACCACCAGCAGCACCAGAACCAGCGGGCCGTGCTCGGGCGGCAGGACTCGGACCCCGAGGCCATCCGCCGCGAGCGGGACATGCTCCGCGAGGCGCAGAGGGCGCGGCTGGCCGAGGAGGCCGAGGCTGCTGCTGCTGCTGCTGCTGCCGGTGGGGGGGAGACGACGCCGGCGGTGGAGGCCGGCGGGACACGGCGGCTCCCTGAGCGGCCTGGGCCGGGGGTTCTTGTCGGCGGGGCCGAAGCGGGCGGCGAGGGGGCGATGGCGTCGGCGTCGTCGGGACCACAACGACAACAACAACAACAACAGAAACAACAACAGAACATGGCGCTCGCGCGCGGCAGGGCCGGGTCCGTGTCGCGGTCCATCTCGGCGCCGCCGGACAGGATCCTGCCACCGCAGCAGCAGCAGCAGCAGCAGCAGGAGGACGGCGCCGGGACGGGGGCGGACTCGTCACGGTCAGGGGCAGGGGCAGTCGTCGGGGCCCGGCCGCCGCACGTGCTGCTGGTCGACGACAACGACATCAACCTGCAGCTGCTGGTCATGTTCATGCGGAAGCAGGGCCTGAGCTACGACACGGCGTGCAACGGGCTGGTGGCGCTGGAGAAGTACGAGGCGGCGTGGCCGGGCGGGACGACGACAACCACATCAACATCGTCACCATCATCAGCATCAGCAGCAGCAGTAACATCAACAACAGGAACATCATCAACATCAACAGCAACAGCAGCACTGCCCTCCCCGCCCAACAGCGGCGGGACCAGCCCGAAGATGCCGACCACCACGCCCACACCCACACCCACAGAAACAGCACCGCGGGGCCACCCCCAGCCCAATCCCACCCACACCCACACCCCCACCACCAAGAAGCCCTTCACGCACATCCTCATGGACCTCTCGATGCCCGTCATGGACGGGCTCACGGCGACGCGGCGCATCCGGGCCGTCGAGGCCGAGAGGAGGGGCGCGGGCGCGGGCGCGGGCGCGGGCGCGCCGGCGACCATCATCGCGCTGACGGGGCTGGCGAGCGCCGAGGCGCAGGACGACGCCCTCGTCGCGGGCATCAACAAGTTCCTCGTCAAGCCTGTCAAGTTTGGGGAGCTGAGGGGGCTGCTGAGGGGGGGCTGCTGAGTGGGGATTTGGGGGGGCGGGGGGGGGGGGGTTGGGTGGGACTGGTGCTGCTGGTTCTTGTCGGCATCGATTTACGGCATCCATGGATGGGAGTGTGTTGTGTTGGTCGGCTGAGATCCCGGAGGAGGGGGGGGGGGCTTGGACCTGGGAGGGGTCGGGTTTTCTTTTTCTTGTTTTTTTTATTGCCCCTTTCATACTCATGGGATGCGATGGACTGCATTGTTCTATGGGCGTTATTCTTGTTCTTTCTTGTCTTCTTGCGGCATCCTTGGGTACATGGATACAACGGGCCGTGTACTGTCCTGTCCATATGCATATCGGGTAGGAGAGGACGGGCGGGTGGATGGCAGGGCGGGGGGAGACAGGTCGAGCAGTTCCTGACCTAGGCAGGCTGGAGTGACCAATCATACCACATCCTGTGTTTGTCTTATTACCTTCTTGGTTTAACACCCCCTTTTATAAAAGTGGGCTGTAGTTCATGTCTTAACTAACACCTTGCAATTCTGCAATACCTTTAACGTGGTTTCCGCTACAGATGTCCTGTTATAGGTCGCATGTGGTACCTAGGCGGCAAGCTTTACACCTCCTTACCTAACTATTAGGTAGTAATTAAAGGGTTATCTTAAGGGTTACTAAGTCTTCTACATTATAACCCCTTAATATTTTCTTAATTATCATTTATTTTATATTTATATAAATATACAAACTTTTAATTTTAATTTTTATATACTTATATAAAAGCTATATTAATATAAAAGCTACACTTATATAATATACATTTATTTATATATATATATATATAAATTTGTACATTTCTATCACAACTCTAGTGGTGGGGGAGAAACCTTTTGTATGTTTTCATTAACTTCTTTACTTGGCAGTCATACCACATCCTTCCCCCTTTAAAGCTGCTTTGACGAATCGAATTCGTTTCGTTTGTCTCACGCTGTTGGATGTCGGCGTATCAGACGTTGAACCATATGAGCAAGGAACGCCAATTGCTAATTTTACCAAATACAACTCATGCAGCATGCTCACCTCACGATTCACACCAGCCGCACGATTGGACCCTCTGCCACACTAAGGGGCTATTCAAGCATGTGTTTGAATGGATTTATAGCAAGCTGTTGCCTTTAGTCGGATACATCTACCAAATCTACGTTCCTAGGTCTACCGTTGGTCGTGTCGCCCGCTCTGAACTCACCCCTATTAGTACCAAGTCCGTCTCCAGGCAGGACAGTTTTCGTGTTCAGTAGGCGAGCAGCATTAACTTGCAAGTATGGCATTCCGGTCGAATGCGCAGGCGCAAGCCGTGGTGAGAGAGCGGGGCTTGCACACGATTGGATCTGTCAGGCTAGGCATTGTCGCATCGCAAAGTCCACCGGTGGAGGATGCGAGTCGCGCGCAGCTGGTTCGACCTACCGACGATGAAACCATCAGCCTGTGATGAGAACGCTGCAAGCCGCGGGCTGTGATATCGTGTAATTCAACCTGGAAGCAGAACCGGCTGGCAGCATTTGAAGCAAACTAAGCCCCCACTGGTGAAGAAGTGGTGGTTTCGCTTCTGATTCCCATACATATACAGTGTGTGCGGTCCTTTCATTCGTACCCACGCAATGGCTGCGTCGATATTGGGAGCAGCCAACTCTCCTCACGATTGTTTTCTATCACCAGGCTCCGTGCTGGCGAGAAAGTCGCCGACCTCCTGCATGTACCTATCCCTATCCTCCCAGTGCGACATGTGGCTCCCACCAAGAGTCACCCATCTTACTTTGGGGATCTCCTTGGACCATTGGTGCATGGCGGGGTTGGTGACTTCGTCCGCCTTACTGTTGATCAGGAGGGTCTCGACCTCAGTATTGTGAGCTCGGCTCCACCCCTCCCAACCCTTGATTGAGCCAAATATCACGAACTCAGCCGGTCCTTGACTTGATGTTCCTTTGGGTTAGACACCAATCACCCACGTATGGTAAGGGTCTCTATGTAAAATACTGGACTCACATCGTGAGGTAGACGGTGGGATCGTCGCTCATATTCTTGAACGCTGCCATGACCTCATCGGGCATGGGGTCCAAGGTACAGACGTGGTGGCCGTTGAAGACTGCGGCAGCGCTCTTGAACTCCTCCCTCTCGTGATCGCTCCGCCTGTCGCATTCCTCGAGTGTCTTCCGAACATCAGCCGGCAACTTGGTAAGCAGGCTCTTGAGACCCTGTTCTGTATTTCGTTGTGTTAGGACACCACGTGTATTCAGTTTTAGATACGTGCGTTCCGGTGATATTTGACATGTAATTTAAAATCCCGTCGGGATGTCTTACCGTACAACGGGATACTTGACGGCCCGCTGGCTATGACCAGCTTTCTCAGCCCCACAGGAGATCTTCTGCGGGGCTGGCTCATAGCATAGGAAGCAGCGAGAACGCCGCCCCAGCTCTGGCCCAAGAGATAAAACCCACGGTCCCGCAGCTGGAGGTGGTCGACCAACATGTCAAGTTCCTTGATGAAGAGCTCAAAGGACCAGAACTCCACGTCTCCCATCTTATCGCGGAGGTGCGTGGAGCGACCGCACCCGATCTGGTCGTAGAATACAACAGGGATCCCATAGGCCTTGTAGAGGTCCGCCAGGAGGGGCATGTTCTCGTGCCCGGCACCGGGGCCGCCGTGGAGTGCTATGAGGACAGGGCCGGCTGTTGGCCCGTCGAGGGCGCCCGTGACTTTGTACCATGTCTTGCAAGGCTCATCCGGCGTTGGGAACTTCCCAGGTGTCCTCGCCCTCACGCACAGGGAGTTGCGTCATCGTCGCAGTGGTGGCGGATGGTGTCAAAACACACAAGACTGTCCTTTGTGTGCTGGGATGATCTTGGATCAGCTTCTGTGTGAGTAGTTGGAATCTAGATCTTCTCTGCGGCTGCTTGTGCTACACGCGTAGTTGGTTAGAGAACCGTGGCTGTGTTGTAGGCTGACGACTCGGAGGGACTGGAGTTCAAAAGGGTCGCTACAGAGATGAGGAGAATGGGAAGATAGAGTGCCGCACTATGTGCCAACAGTGCAATGTTGAAGTAACGTTGGGGAAGATAGCGGACCAGCGTGCGCAGAAAGCCCTTTCAACGTACGGCACAAGCTTACAAGACACGAAGGTCAAAGTAAACGCGCCCAATTAATAAGAGCTTCAAATGTTTGTTGCGGCGTAAGCCCTAGTAACGTCCCCGGCCCACATTCCGATAGTCCCCTAAATCCAACTACCTCCTTCTTTAACTACCTTTTTACCTTAACTCTATCTATATTATTATTACTATTTTATCCTTTTTAATAGTTAAAGTTTTTAATTATTTTTATTACTTTCTTTAAATATCTATTTAATTTTAATTTAAATTTATTAAATTACTTTAATATTTATAAATAACTTATTAAAGTTAAGTTAAACCTTTTTCCTTTAAGTTAGTTTATTAGTTTTTAATTAATATTTTAACTTTTAAACTTTTTTTATAAATATTATTAAATTAATATTTTTTTAATTTTAATTTTTTAAAATTTTATAAAAAAAGAGTTATTATATAGAGTTTAAGTATTTATTATAAATATATTTAATTATTATATTATATAACTTTTATAATTATTTAAAAGTTATAAAATAATCCTTTAAAATTAGTAAAAATATTATTTAATATAGAAATATATATTACTTTATTTAGTAATAACCTTTTATTTTTTACTTTAATAATTTATTAGTTTTTAATAAAATATATATTAAAAGCTTTATATTTAAAAATAGTTATAAATTAATTATTTATTATTTAAATTAAATATATAATTTTATAAAGGTTTTAATATATATTTTATAATAATAATAAAGAAATTTTTTTATAATTATTAATAAAGAATTATAACTATTTTAATATTATAAGTATTTTTAAAGGTAGTTTTCAATAAATTAAAAATTAATATATTAAATAATTAAAGTATATATAAACTAATAATTAATAAAAATAATATAAATATTATTTAAAAGTATTTTTATATAAAATTAATTATAATATATATATAATATTTATTAATTATAAGAAAGTATTATTTAAATAGATTTTTAATATAATTTAAAAGAAAGACTTTTTTAATTATTTAATTATAATAAACTTTTATTTAACTTTTTTATTATTATAAATTATTAACTTATATAATTCTTGAAGGTTATAAAAACTATTATTATTATATATTTAATTCTTTAAAATAATAAAAGAGTTTAAAACTTATTTATAATAAATATATACTTTATAAAAAAGGTTTATATATATAAATTAAAGTTTTTTAAAATAACTTACTATTTTTAAAATAGTTAATTATAAATATTATTTTAAACTTTTTTATTAATTTTTCTATTAATATTTTAATAATTATTTAATTTAATAATTTTTATAATAAATAGTTATATTAAGTTAAATTATATAAATATATTTTTTCTATTATTATTTTTAATTATTTTATTTTAATTTATTAATATTTATAGTTTTTAAAAATAGAGTAATAAATTAAAAACTTTTAATTATTTCCTTTTAATAGAAGAGTATTAAGAAAGAGAAAACTATTTAATTTATTAAAGTTTATATTTTTAATAAATTAAAATATATTTTAAACTATTTTAATTAATTAAAATAATATTAATTAATTCTTTTAAATATTAAAAAAAGATTAATAAAATTTATAAATAGTAAATTTACTTTATATATTAAAAAAATAATTATAAAATATAATATATAGAATATATTAAATTCTAAAGGCTTTTTATATAGGTATTTTATTTTTAATTATTATAAATATATTATAAATTCTTTTTTTTTATACTTCTTTATAATAATTAAAATAATATTTAAAGAAAGTTTAATAATTAAAAAGAATTCCTTATAAAGTTATAGGGGGGTATAGATAGGGTGGGGATAGATGTGTATATATATAAATGTAGGTATGGGGTGGTTGGATTTAGGGGACTGTCGGAATGTAGGCCGGGGACGTTACAATCCATCCCCATTAGAGCGTATGTGATTCCAAAGTTCCTCTGAGCCGCTGCCTGCCCTTGAAGGCCCTCTATCTGTTGCCCTGCGAATACCCGCTCTCTTTGGAGTTGTTAAGCTTGTCAATTAAGAAAAATGTACCCGAAACTGGCCATACTAACAGGCCTGAAACACCTTCAGCTCCTCGGTGCCAGGTTCGGCAGGGAGTTGCCGCCACTCACGCTGAATGAGGCTCACGCTAAAAGTTATATCAACCCTTCAAACCAAGACACTTGATAATCATCTCATTCTTGCTCGAGATTGAACAGCTTTACCTAAAGGTTTCTTATGGACCAGGATTGTTGCTACCGCTGTATGGGGAGCGTGAGTGAATATGGCCGGGCAGAGCCCTGGTCCTGGCAGTCTCTGGCCCAACAACCGGCTGTTCCGTTACTGTCCTGTTACTCAGCTGCAACCATTCTGGTAGGTTGTGGGAGGATCCTGCCGCCTCGGTTGTCTGGATTCGAATCAATATCGTGGATAGTCTAATGACTACCATCTCCTACTGGGCGTCCTTGCTGCTCCTCTCTCTCGAGGACTCCTCTGTCTCCGCTCCCAGCAACATATTACAAGCCGAAGCCCTGGCGCTGCAATGATATGTACCTAGGCAGCTTAGGACAGCCTTATCTAAACATCCATTCGCTCCTAGTCCGAGTGTTGTACCCTTCCAGAAAGTCATATTTCTGATACCATTCATCCTTAGGAAGGCGAGACCCATGGGAAGCAAAGAAGGTATTGAGTCTCTCATTCAAAGCTGAATAAAAAGGGATTGTTGAGAATCCACTTTTCACTAAAATGAGTGGGTATTAGGGAAATTACCTGATAAAGCCATTCCCTCACGAGGTATCAGGAAGAATATTTCAGTGTCCTCATTCACAAGGAGCAGATCTGAAGTAATTGGTGTTCCTGGGTTGATCCTTTAGTCTAACAAACCTCAAGAGCATCACCAAGCTCCGAAGTTCCCTGAATTCAATTACCACATACCCTTGGGAATAGTAAAGAGGTACTGCTTTGCTAGCTCCTTGTTCGTTTCTTGATTGGTCTCGTACCATTCCAAGTAATTAGTAACGACTTGCTGCATAAAAAGAGTATTCGGAAGCATCTCGAGGCCATTCCAGATTCCATATGCAGCAGGCCCGCCATAAACTAGTCCGTCGTTTTGGACAACCACCGCATCGTGGTGAAGGCGGTACATGTTCTCATTACTGTTGGTGGTCTCCTTCCCATCAGTATAATCGTATAAGAGAAGTCTCGACCCACGCGCGCTGTAATAGTGGAGTGTGCAAGGAAAAGATCCATAGTAAATGTCCTTGCCATGTAAGGCCGTTGCGTATGAAGGTGGGGCAGAGCTTGCCTTCGCTGTGCCATGGAAACAGCGAGGGCGGCCGAGGGATGGCATTAGCGCGCCACGAGAAAAAACCATGGCCCTTGAAAGGGACGGGAACAGCGCTGGTGACCTGGCAATTGGCATGATTCGTTGACTATTGGAAAGTATTAGCTGTCAGTGGATGCAAAACAGCACCTGAGTTGGATTGATGGGAGGGGAAGTGCGACTTTTAATGGAAGCAGCTGCGCTAAGTTCCATCCGGTTCCACCCTAGCCAGCAACCTGCGGTGGTACCAGGGTCGGGTGCGCAGGCCGCAGTTGGTCGGCGAACTTCACCGAAAGGTTCGTGATCTAGTTCCTGCTTCTGTAACGGCACTTTTTAAATTTCACAGGTACTGCATTGCCGAGCGACCTTATACTTGTCCACGAGCACACAGATCACTATTCGCTACAACCAGCGGTTGAAATGAAATTGTCAGGTATGAAACAGCATCTAAATACAATTTGAGTTCTACAAAGTGTCTATTTCTTACATGGAGAAAACAGAACTGAACAGTAAGACTACGACATTCCTCCAAAGCTACGGGAAGGTTTACACTCGTGATGAGTGGCGGCAGAAGTACGATCCATCGTATCGGCCCTGCTCCTCTGGTGGTCAGCCCTCCTCCTCTGGATCAGCGTCCGCTACACACTGGCAGACTGATCCTAAGAGTGGGAAACAGTTTTATATTGACCCCAAGACTAAAAGGACTGCCTGGAAAAAACTGGTTAGTATTCATAGCTTGAATTGTAAGGGATGCTGGCATCTTTCTGAAATACATTCATGACCTTGCTAGATCATATTCTCTTCTCGACTGTTGCCCAGTGACGTATCTCTGAGCGTGTCACCTTGTCATTCGGACCGAAATTTCGTCTATCGACCGGCGAAGTGGTCAGACAGAATCTCGTCGTTACTTAATGTCTTGGGTTTAAATAGTAGCTGGGATTGAGGGCAGGATTGCTTCAAAGTTAGTATCTACGAGGCGCGGACCGCGTCACATTGAAGCCCACTAAGAACAGGCTCAACCAAGAGGCATCTGCGCGACGGGGAGGAAGCCCCGGCTCTTGCCTCGCATGCCCAGGCCCGTCAGAGACCGACATGTCACCGATGGGCCCGTCGAACCTGCGCCGAGTGGGTACGAAGAAGGGAGTCATTTCCTCAGGACAATACATGGTCCAAAGACGGGCCATCTCCGCAACCCATCACGGCCTCGCATGCCCGACGAATAATTGCTGGGAGATTGTGGCGAGTCTGACACAATGTTGGAGGCAAATCAAGTTTCCAAGATTATGAGAGGCCTCAAGCGCCCCAAAGCAGTTGGCGTCGGGGTCATCGCCAATGAGGCCTTGATCCTATGTGTGGACATTATTGAGAAACACCTGGAGCACCTGTTTGACGCGTGCGCGTTTGCGTCTTTCGTACCACCCCGGGATATTCAAGGCGTCTCGGACCACTGCCTTACCGAAACCAGACAAGTCTTCCTACTCCTGTCCCAAGACTTGGAGGCCCATCACCCTGCTAGGCGCCCTGAGTAAGGTCCTGCATAAGTTGGTAGCCAACCGGCTCTCCAAGTTTGTCCTGGAGACTGGATGTTTGCCCGCAAACCAATTTGGAATCTTTGGGAAGAGCACAACAAGCGTGCTGCATTACATCCTGAACCAAGTGTACACGGCCTGGTCAGCCGATTTCAAGCCAACGGTCATGGCTCTTGATATCACAGGCGCGTACCCTCGGGTCAATCGCGACAGACTCCTCGAGGCTATGGCAAGGAAGAATGTGCCTACCTGGATTATTCTATTCGTCTTCTCCTGGCTGTATGAGTCTCATACCGACCTGCACTTGCCAGGTCGCCCGAAGCCTTTTTTATCAGCCCGGGTATCCCTCAGGGGAGCAGTCTGTCGCCCATTTTATTCCTCTTCTTTGTCCCAGGTCTGTTGGAGATCAACCTGACCAGGCTTGATGGGGCGCGTGCTGATATCGTTTCCTTTGTCGATGATACCTATATCATCGTCTGGAGCAAGCACTTCTCCAAGAATTGCGATGCGTTGAAGACCTTGCACGACCGCGTAAAGATCTGGGCCAAAGCCAACGACGTCGAATTTGCACCACAGAAGTACGGGCTCCTACATTTCGAACCACAGCCACAAACTCGCTGTACGCAGCTTCCTAACATCCCAGGTCTGACTCGCAACCATCTGGAGGCGCCCGAAGGCTACCTTGTACTACACCTGCGTATCTTGGGGGTCATGGTCGACACGCAACTGAAATGGGGCCCGCATATTGACCACATCGCAAAGCGAGTCCAGCTCCAACGGTACAACTTTTGGCACATCTCTCGAACGCAGACGGGACCCAAGCTGAACCAGATGAGACAGCTGTACATTGCCAAGGTCCTCCCCATCTTTTCGTACGCTTGTGGGGCCTGGTATATCCCCCGAAACGTCAGTGCGCGCTATCAAATGAGCGTTGCAAACATAAACAGGCTGAATAAGCTTAACCAAGCCGCTCTACTCGACGTGTCCGGTGGCATGGTGAATAAAAGCATCGAAGTCATCTTCAAGGAGCTGCATGTTCACCGCATGTCCATCTTCTTGGAAAAGACCTCCACCGCGCAGCGAGCGCGAGAGCTTGACACATCTCACCACAAGACGATGTGCTTGGAACGGGAACGACGGAGGCCAACAAAATCGGGCATTGGCGAGCAGAAACACCCGTACCATCAACTTGACAAGGTTGCACGTCAACTTCAGAGCGATGCCCTCGAGATGACTCCTTCCAAGGGGCCCAGTGACGAGAAGAATCGCATCAAGCAGTTAGTCAAACAGCAATCTGACGCAGAGAGCAGCGCGGCGTGGAAGGGCTACAGGCTTGCTTTCATCAACGAGAGAGAGAGACGCATCCCGCCAGCGCACTCCGACCCCAATGGGTGGGGGGCCCACAACCTGAAGCGGTACGCCAACCTCCCCCGGCACCAGTCGAGCATGCTGTTCCAGTGCCGGGCCGAGCGCGCCGCCGTAAACGCGACCCTGTACAGGATGCGCGTGCACAAGGACAACGAGGACAGGTCCAAAGACACGCCCAGCTGCCCGTGCGGTCACCCGCAGCAGACCATCCAGCACCTGTTCAGCTACTCAGCTACTGCCCGGACCTGGAGGAGGCCAGGGCGATTGAGCTCGTGCTGAAGCTGGGCACCGCCAACGTGGATGAGCTGCTGGAAAAATACCCCGCCGAGGCGTCGGCGTTCGCTGTGAGGCACTTTGGCATTTGCAAGAACACAGACGTGCCGTTGTTTCTGCCGCAGCGAGGGGAAACCGGGAGTAAGGTCCAGGAGGACAAGAACAGGAAGAGGAAGAAGAGTGGGGAGGGAGGCGGCCCGCCGAACCCTGGCAAGAGGCAGAGGATCGGAGGCGGCCCGGGACCTGCCACGGGAAAGAAACGGCAGCCCAGGCGACGGCACGGGATTGGAGCCACGAAGAAGGGAGGCAAATTTGGTTACAGCAGAACTGGGCGAAAGAGGGCCCTGAAGCGCAAGATCTGGAAGAAGCATCGGCGCGGCGATTCCGAAGGATGACTGCATGTGGATAACTAGAATGGAGAGCCTCAAGCTCGGATGGGTTCACGTTCCCAGATAGCACCCAGTTATCGTGTTCAATGAAGACAGCAATTTTCCCCCTCAGGCTTCGGCCACATTGTACTTTTTGTTCAACTGTGTATGTAAGTCGGCTGGTGTTCAACCGGCCAAGCCCGCCCAGCTCCGTCATCTACTCGCACATGCTAACACTTCACCCCATAGTTGTCTATTCGTCGTCTTCTCGGCTTTTAGACTGGACATGTGAGCCCCACTCCTTTCCAGTGACGGGCATCGTTCAGCCTCTCACTACGTGCTAATTGACTAATCATTGATGGTGGTAGCGGCTCGTACCTCGAGCACGAAGTCAACAATTGCTCGGTACATGCCCTCAAACTTGTCCGCGCATGGGTAAGCTATTTCTCGGGTTCCAATTACCTCCTTACTAACTAACAGAAAGCAGAGTTGCCAGCTTCCCCCGTGGGGCTCCCTCTTCCACCACATTCCTCACATATTGTGTAGAAGTAGATGAATCCTTAATAATGAAGTAGTATACTTAGAGGAGGAAGATTTAGTTCTTAGGTGCCTAGACTTCCGCTTTCCTTATATGGTGTTTATCTAATGTACAGTAAATAAACTCTGCTTGGCTTTCTGAGAGGGTTTTGGTCTTTTTGTAGAATTTGTGTGGGAAGGCTTTCTTGAATAGGTTTGTTATTGTGGTGTTACTATTCTGTTAGGTAAGGATCTCTCTAGCCTATGGCTCTATTGAGTCTGCTTACTGATATTCTACTCTCTTAGCAGCTATGTGCTTGGGACGGGGACCATGGTGTGTGTGAGTGTCTTGAGAATTAGTGCCAGGTTTTGCATGCTGACTTTGTTGGAGCTGGCTTACCTGGCGAGGGTAGATCTTGGTGGCTATGTGAGTGAGTTTCCCTAATATCCCTTTACTTTTCCAGGTTGTTCTTGTTCAGAGGATGCCGCCAGTGTTGAAGTTGTATCTTCTTCGGCAGCTCCTTGGGGAGTCATTTTACCCCATGTGATCTATTTGCAACAAGTCTTACTAACTCGTGCCGTTCTAGCGAGTGTGTTGATGGGGAAGAGCCAGCTTGCTGGGTCTCACGTTGTGGGATTGTGAGTAAGCCTGTGAATCCGACATGCCCGCTTTGCGCACATTGCTAATGCGATTACAGCTTCTTCTTATAGGGGCCATTTTGAGGTATGCCAGCAATTATGAGTTTTGGTTGGACCAGACTGACAGCTTTAGAGACTATTCTAGTCTCGCCGTATGACTGCTTTGCCGGCTGTGAGTACTTTCCTTGGGGGTTTTGTCTCCTTCGGGTCCCACAGGGTCATATGCTGGGCTAAATGACTCAAGTTGACTCTAGTATCGTGGCAGATTAGCCCTTGGGCTACTTATATCGACGAGCAAGTCCCCAAATTTTCCCCCAAGGCATGAGATAACAACACCCACTAACTTTCATCGTCAAGTTCTAGTGCGGCGCCGTCGGGAGCAATGCCTTCCAGCCTCCATACCATGCGTTAGTAGGTACTAGAAATAGTCACTACAACCACCTACATTCCTCTAACTACCTCTTAACTACTACACTACTTCTTTTCCTTTAAGGTTATCACTATAATATTTATCTTAATCCAATAATTATAATAATCTATATCGTTAAGTTTAAATAATTCCTTAAAAATTATAAGGGTATTTTAAAGTCTAAAAGTAGTTATTAAAAGGAATTAAATTTTAAACTAAATATAGACTTATTAAAAAGGTTCCTTCCTTTTAAGTAACTCTTTTTTAAATCCCTAAAGGTAGGTCTCCTACTTAAATATATTAGCTAGTTAAAAAAGATTTTTTTCCTTCCCCTTCCTACTAAATCTTTTTTAAGTCTTTAACTTTTATTAGCTTATTTCTAATAACTCTACTTTTCAATTTTTAAATATAATTAATTAACTTAATTCTAACTATTTAAATAATTAACTTAAAGGAGGAAGGTAAAAAACTTAGTTAAAGTTAAAGTTAAAGAAAGAAAGGAAGAAAAGAAGGGAAAAGGGAAGGGAAAGGGGAAGATACTCTCTTTATAACTTTTTTCCCTTTTATAAGTCCTTCTATAAGTCTATTTCTTCTCTTTATAACTATCTTTCTTTTTTAAGTCTTTTATTATTAAAAGTATATTAAAATATTAATTAATTACTTAAAAGTTAATATTCTTTCCTTTTTAAGTATACTTAAAGTTAATCTTATAAAAAAGGGATTTCCTATTTAAAGGATAGTTATAATAACTATTTCTAGTACTTACTAACGTACGGTATGGCTTGTTTATGCGGTATGAGGCTCAGCCACGTGCCCGTAAGCCCCTTCCTACTTCCTTCAGCTTTGGTGGTTTCTCTTCTTGCTTCATGACTGATTCGTACTAATTATGCAGACAGACGTACTGTATTCTCTTTCCACTGTTATTAGCACTATATTTCTTTAAACGCTAGGTCTTGAGCGTTTACCACTATATGAAGGCACCACGTACATTTTACATATATGGGGATTAAAAACGAAACCACTTGGATTAGGTTACCCACCTAAGCGAAGTTTTTATGCTCTTCCACCTCGCAAGAGGGCTTCAAAAAAATTCAAAAAGATCCAGGGGGGCGGGGCTATTGTTGAGGCAGGAGGACATGGGAAGTCCAAGTGGAGGGGCGCAGGAGCTTGTTGGTGGAGTGACAGGGTCTTTGGGGAGTCTCGGAACAAAATGAGTTCCTCCGCGTGCATTGCCTTGCTCTCGATGTGATTCTTGTCCAAAGTTCAGTGGTGATGAGCAGGGTGGGCTTTCTCCTTTCCGACCACGCGGAGCTGTGTGCTCACTGACCTAAGAAAGCGAGCATCGGGTCCTGGGTCTCGGCTGAGAGGCCTACAACGTCTTGTGACCGAAAGCATCGCAGACGTTAGTTATTCCCTGTCAGCAAAACTCCGCCCCGACATACGTCTGGCCTAAGAGAGCACGCTCTTTTTCTACTTATCGCCCCCTTTCAAAGCGGGACCAACCAGGTATACCATTGTTTGAAGGAGGCCCTCTTGATTTACGGGGTGCAAGAGCAACACTGTGACCAAAACTTAAACAACGGGCCTGCACGAGCGGCGTCCGTGTTCACTATGAATCTCAGGTGCATCAGAGGATTGAAATAGGGTGGTATGGTTTTGATCCCCATACATGTAAGATGCACGTGGCCCCTACATACAGTGGTAAACGCTCAAGATTAGGATGGAAATAACTGACGTGATATCCTTCAAGAAAGAGGAAACGACATATCGTTCATTTTCTTTCCCCACTGTTTCCTGGTGGCCCACTCGGTGTAGCACTTGAGATTTACTTCCTGTTACAGAGCTGCCACAGTATACTTACAACTCAAGCAGCATTCCCAGGTGGCCCCGATAGATCTCAAGGTTGTATCTCCTGAATCAAGTAGAACCTCTTTGGCGTTCCTAGTCTCGAAACCACGGAACTCCTTCTGGCGAATTCCTTAGGTCACAGATGACTTTCCATTCCGGCAAAGGCGGCAAAGTTTGATACGAGGTACTGAGATCCCACCCTCGTTCCCAATCGGACAGTGTCCATTCGCGGTGCGCCTCAATCATGGCCTCAACGTCCATCGGCTCACCAACGTCAAAGTTTGCGCGAACAGCAAGGCAAGTGCCTCTAGATATATCCTGCAGGGCCGGTGGAAAATCCACATACATAAAGCCCTCGGTCCTCCTCATGTCGTCGTAGGAAACCTTGTGTAAGATGCCCCGATCGAAAGTCTCCAAGAAGGCCGTGTGCCATGCCGCGTCGCGTTGGACCCTCTGGAAGAGCTTCGTACATTGTTCAGGGGCAGGATTCCCATCCAGCACCAGCGTGAAGGAGCCTTGGGGCATTCCGGCAGGTGCGAGGGCCAAGGCCTCAACTATCCAGCAAGCCACACGTTCGGTGAGGAAGTAATCTGTCATTCCGTCGTTATTGAGGCAGGTTTCGGGCTGCCAGACATTTGTCCATAGATTGGCTCGCCGTTCAACACGAAGGGCCGGGTTTTCCTTACAGAGCCCAATGAAGCCTAAGCCATGACATTCGGAAAAGTTCTGACCGGGATACCTCTCGTCCAGGATGATTTTGCGGATATTCTTTCGCTGGCTTGGGATGTTTTCCAGGAAGTGGATGGCGATTGATGCGGCTGATAGGAAATGTCTGTTCCAATAGCGTGGGTCGAAGTTTTCGTGGGGTTCGCGTTCATAATCTTCCTGAGTTTTATGTTCATCACGATAATGTGCTGGATGGCGACGATCATGTTCAATCCCATCGCCTTCAGCGTCTTCAATAATGGTCCATGGCTTGTACAATGAGTGATATCTGATAATATCAGCAGCACGGTCAGTCGTGGGAACCCGATAAGACCCTGCTCTCCAACCAGGATCATCCTCCACGTCTGACCACGCCTTCTCTGACCAGGACTCTCGTGACGAGATCAGCTCCAGCGTCTTTAGCGCTGCTTGCCGCTGAAGAGATGGCACTTCGCCCCAGTAGATGGGGTAGCCTATGTTTGGCCAGTATACTTGTCGACCTGTGAAGTCGTGCTCTTCATCATTGAAGACATCAAATCGTGCGGCATAATTAGAAGGTTCGGAAGCCCTGAGAGCCAAGTTAGTCTTGATCATACGTCAATACGACTGGAAAAAGGTTGTGTGGGTCTTGCCGCAGCCAATCACCAAGGTGAGACGCGAGGGCCATGCCATGCTTAGAATATTGAAAAACAACGGTTGCATTGTGGAAGGAAAGATGATTTAGTGGCAACTTACAACCTCTGAATAAGCCGTAAGTGAGGCTCGAATTTGGGAAATTCTTCGGACACCGTTCGGCAAATTGATTCGTCAAAGTTTGGCACAGGCCACCAGTCCTTGCGAGACGAGCGTAAGGGGTGGTTGAAATTTTTCTCCTGGAGGCTTTGGAAGACAGCGTCCCACCATTCATCCTTGCTGTTGAGAAGATATTGCAAGTTGCTCTGCTTCGCAGGGGGAGCAACAGGGCGGAAGGTGATGACATTGGTCTTCAGTGCGAGGCCCCTCATCTCTGCTGCGATCTGCCGGCACGAGAGCATAAGCTCCAAGTCGATAGGCGCTCGAGTCCCGGTCGAAGTGGCACATCTGAGCTTGCCAGACTGTGATAGGTTTTCAGCACGTGCCCACCATCATGGGACATATAAATGAAAGGGGGGCTCTGACCTCAAAGTTATACACATAACCACCTTCGACTCGTAGATAGTGTTTGTCTGTTGTATGGTGTGTTAGATTCCAGTCATGCGAAAAACAAAAAATCCATCTAAACCAATAATGCGTCCCTTTAATCGACCGCAGAGGGCATCTGAAGCCTTCCGAGACCGGTAAGGAGCTTGGATCGGGAGGGGCGAGCAAACCTCCACGGGTGTCTATCTAGTTACTCACAGATGTCGTCCCTCAGCTCTCTGGGAAGGGCCAGCAGCATGCAGTCATCGCTTGGGTTCGATTTCTTCGAGTCCGCCATCGTGGAGGTTGTGAAGGCTGCGATATGGTGATGGTGGATGAGCGGGTGTGAGAGGTCGATTGTTAGTGGTCGACTGTGACCACGAAAAAGGTGCGGCTGATGAGAGCGACGGGCCGAAACATCGGAGTGCGGGGACCAGGCCTTATTATACGCTGTGGTACCCGGGTACGTTTTTACCGTTCCCGGGTGAGTCATCTGGCGAACTTGTAGGCGCTTAGGCCTTCTGGCACCTCGCTAACAAGGTAGTGGATCGACCATTGTAGACACTAAGTATTTGGGTTGGGACAGTGTGTGAATCGTAAAAAGGTAAAAAGGCAATCACAGTGTCAATGCGACGGCACGCCACGCCATGGAGAACCTATTCAGTTTTCGCTGCAGGCTGGTGGTGTCCGTCGTTCGATTAGCCCTGCTGCGTCCTCAAACACCCGGCCACCTAGGAATGAAGGACGTTCTTGATTAGTCCCTATTTAGATACACAGAGCGATTTCGTTGTTCTTTTTTTTTTTTTTTTTTTTTTTGAAAAAAAAAGTGTTCCCCTTTTCTTTCAGCATGGTTCTACTGTAGCCCTGTAAGTAGTCTCCTTTCTAATCCTTATATATATATATATATATAGAGCGTATGCGGCGCCATCACACAGTTGCAAACGCTCAAGACCCAGCGTTCAAAAAACAAACAGTATCGATTTCGTTCTTGGGTGGTTTCGTTCTTAATCCGTATACAGCCCGAAGGATTACACCACGACGCTCGTTCTGCAATAGAGTCACACCAGACTTCGTCGGATCGTCCGTTATTGACGCAATGCTGAAAATGAATAAAGCGAGAAAATATATGTCCTTGGCCGGAGGCCGGTCAGGATGGTGGAGGACGCAAAAGACCCCCGTGTCACATCACCACCCACGAAGACTTTGAAAACTGCGGCCCCAATCTGACAAGCAAGCTGAGTGATGCCGTCTGATGTGTCCGGGCGCTAGGAATCAGCCCGACACGGGGCGGCAAGGAGTAAGCTCACCGTGGCGGCAGACATTCGCAAGGGACGACGAAGCCCTCGAGTACGTCGTTGCTAACCGGGCGCGTGCCCCCAGGCAATACGTCAAGATCCCAAAGGACCACCCCGATACGCCCTCCTTGCGACGGCAGCCCTCCTTGCGCCGCCCGAGATGCGCGGCGCAGAGTAAGAACGCCACCGCGTGTATGACCTGGGAGGGTGGGTGAGCCTGGGGTCTCCCATAATAGCACAGAATATAAGTGAGGTTTGACATAGCGTTCTGTACGAGGGGATCGCATGCACAGTGCACACTCGTATGTGCCCTGAGGTATACACATTGCCCCTGGCAGACCTTTTTAAAAGTTGGCAAATGGCGGTTCCGTCACTCTGACCACCTGAACTCACTGCCGTCAACTCCGCTGTATCATATCGAAACAAAACGGAAGTTTTAAATAAAGGTAATGTCAGGGCCATGGGCTGAACGCCCGCAGGACCAACCAGTGGGTCCGTGCACTCTGCTTATCTTATCAGCCCAAGTGGCCTCCATACCTCTCGCGACGCGGGATTGCAGCTTCGCTGCCTCCCCCATACTATTCCTTAGGCAACTCTAGTTTTGAATCAACAATTCTTCGCAGACAATTTGAGCCTTCTTTTGCCATAGGTCGCGAGGACCGTCTCAGGTAACAAGGAGCCAACATCCACTCACCCAGCAATTATATCCACTCACCTAGTTTTTTTTTAAATCACTCACCCAATACAAGAATTTATATATAGAATCTATATAAAACTATACACCTAACTAGGATTCTTTAAATTTTTAATACTTTTAATATAAGCCCCTTTTAATACCCCTTCTAGTACACCTTTTAGCACTCCTTTTAATATACCTTCTAATATACCTACTAACTAAATATTTAAATATTAACTAAGTATTTAAATATTAATTAATTATTAGAAGATTAAAAAATAAAAAAATAAAAATAAAAACTATATTATTTCTAACCTTTTAACCCTTCTTTTAACTTTTTAATTCTTTAAACTTTTAACCTTTTAATATTAAATTAATATTTAAATATATATAGATTAAAAGGCTTAAAAAAGTATTAAAAGATATATTAAAAGATATATTAAAAAGTATATTTAAAAGTATATTAAAAAGGGGTTTATACTTAAAGTATTAAAAATTAAAGAAGGAAATTATACTATAAGGTCTTTTAATATTAACTTAAGAGGTACTTATAAATATAAGGGAGTTATTTAGAAAACTTAATACTAAATAAGCGGTTAATAGGAACTAGGTGAGTGGATATAATTGCTAGGTGAGTAGATGTTGGCTTGGTGATAAGGCTTGAAGTCTTTACCTGACCTCACACTTCATATATAGCACAGCACCCTGAGCGTTCTTGATGACATTGCCGAAGCCGACTCACTCACCAAAACATACTGTGGTCCATATTCTATATAAAACCATGAGGTAGATAGTTCTGTCTCTCTATATGTATATGTCTTTAAATCTCTGAAAAGTATTGTCATAATCTAGTACCAGACACATTGACGAGTCGCATGATGAATAACACGTCATTCCCCCTCCGCTCGCAATTACAGCTTGCTCTTGGCCCGGTTGTCCCGCCTGATCAGGTCAGGACTGTCCGGGTTGGAGTCATACACAACATCATTGAGGGGGTTGAGCGTGCTCGCGCGGAAGAACATGTCCTCGTACACGCGGCCGTCATACCGGCCCAGGCTCGAGTCGAGCTGCCAGTCCGGGAACCTCCACGCGTCGACGAGGCGCACGGCGTGGGGCCTGACCTCCTCGAGCAGCTTCATGACCTGCTTGCGCGCGAGCGAGATCTGCCGGATCGTCGTCGCCGCGCTGCTGAAGAACTCGCTGCTCTCCTTCTCGAGGGTGTGCAGCGCAAACAGCTTGAACAGCGTGTGCAGCACCGACCTGGTCCCGTCGGCCACCGCGCCGCCCATGCCCGGGCCGTGCAGCGCGTCCTTGAAACTCTTGACCACCATGTACTGCGCGTGCGCCGTGCTCAGCCGGTAGAAGTCCACCAGCAGCGAGTTCCAGGGCTGCTTCTCCTCGTCGCGCTTCTTGAGCGCGTCGAACGTCAGGTACGCCACCCGCCACGCGAAGGCGTCCACCAGCTCCTGGTCCGATCCGAGCACGTCGAAGGCGGCGCCGATGTCCTGGCGCTTGAGGAAGACCTTGAGGAACCGTGTCGTGTCGTTGTCGGCGGCCTTGCCGCTCAGCACCGCGCGTGCGGACTTGAGAAGGTACCGCGCCACCTGCTGCGTGAGCATGTAGTTGTCTCCCTCCCAGGTCACTGTCGGCAGGTAGTCGGCGTAGTATGAGCCGATTCCGCTGAACGAGCTGTAGCCGTGTCCGCCACATGCACGGCGGCAGACCTCAAGGCCCTCGGCCGCCACGGTGGAAGAGAAGGCCTTCAGCGCGCAGGACGTGCTGTGCAGGTCAGCGAGGAGGTCTGCGCCGGGGGTCAGCTCCTCGGGGCCGGGTCGTCGCTTGGAGTCGTTGCTGGGCGGCGGGTTGCCGGCTGCCAGGCGCTTCTGGTTCTCCTGGTACAAGCTGATCATGTTGCGACCTGTGAAGTGCAGGGCAAAGGTCGCGGCAAGCAGGGGCAACAGGCGGAACTGCACCATGCTGTAGTTGAGCACCTGGTTCTCGCCCACGTCGCTTCCCTTGGCGTCGAGATCCTGGAATTGCCGGCGCACCGCACAGTACCGTGTGGCAATTGTGACGCCACGAGCCAGGACGGCGCCGGACTCGAGCACGATGGTGCTTCGGACATAGGTCAGGGTGCCGTAGACAAGAGCTGGGGTTGGTGGGCGGATGTATTTGCTGGTCTCGGGGTCCACCTTGGAGAAGCGGGAGAGCATGTTCACATGCGGGATCTTGACGTTGTTAAGGAGCAAAAAGCCATTGTCCATCTGCAGAGGTGTCAGTCGAGGTCCGGTGGCTGTCACCAAGAGCTGTTACTGACCGTGTTGAAGCCGAATTTGGGACCGATATCTCCAATGTGGACATTCTCCAGCGGCTCGTGGGTCTTCAGGTCCCTGATGGGAACGATAAAGGGGTGGGGCCCGTACGCCTTGCCCTTGACCACCAGCTGCGCCATCACGACAGCATGGTTGGCGACCTTGCCCAGCGAACCGATCCACCACTTGGACGCCGTCAGGTGAGGGCTGTGCATCGTGAAGGTCTTGTCCTCAGGGTTCCACGTGGCCGTTGTCTCGAGGCCCCTGACGTTGGAGCCGTGGCCCAGCTCTGTCTGCGCGTAGCAGCCGATGATCTCGAACTTCTGTGCCTTCTCCAGGAAAAGCTTGTGCTGCTCTGGCGTGCCCTGCTCGCGAATCGTGGGGATAAACATCTTGTAATGCATGGCCAAAGGCGTGGCCTCGCCGGTGAGCTGGTATGCGTAGTCGAACTCATCCTGGGACCACTTGTGCTTGCGCGAGAGCTGCTCGATGCGCTTGCCGCGGGCCAGGGCGGCCACGAAGCGGTCCTCACGGCTCTGGAAATAGTTCTTGGACTTGTCGAAGACGGGCTCTGAAGAGAGCGCCTTCACAATTGCATCCTTCTGCTCCAGGGTCTTCTTGGTGAAGAGGAACTCGGCGAGTTGGTCGACGTCAATGTTGCTCTTGGCCCGCTCCTCCACGAGGATGTCAGCCCCTTGGGGAGACGCCGGCTTCAGCTGCTTGACCCAGTCTGGATTCGGAGGCATTGTGGGTCTTTGCTTTTGGTGGTGGTGCTGAGGTGACTGCGGCGGGATCGTGATCAGCAACACATCGGGGAAAGGGATGGGTTAAGGAATGCAGTTGGTAACAGCACGAGTGGCTTGGACGTCCGAGTGTGTGCTAGAGATGCCGAGGTTAAAGGAGTGAGCGATGGCGGATCGATGACATGGCCGAAAGTGTGTCCGAAAGATCCACATGAATCATGGTAGCGTCCGGCTGGGGTACCCCGTGCTGTTATCTGCGCCTGATTGATAAAAATGCCATGTGAAATGCGACAGGTTTACATTCAACTTGCTGGGCACCAAACTGGGTTACTATAACTTGTGAGTCCGCGACTTCCTC